CGCAAAAATGCCTGAAAATTGCAAAAATGCCTGAAAATCGCAAAATTCCATGAAAATAGAGAAAATCGCAAAAATGTTGAAAATTGAAAAAATCGCAAAAATTCATGAAAATTGCAAAAATCGCAAAAATGCTTGAAAATTGCAAAAATTGCTAAAATTACTGAAAATTGCAAAAATTCTTTAAAATTCCTGAAAATTGCAAAAATCGCAAAAATTCTTGAAAATTGTAATAATTGCAAAAATTCCTGGAAATTGCGATAATTGCAAAAATTTCGAAAAATTGAAAAAATTTCTAAATTCCTGAAAATTGCAAAAATCGCAAAAATTACTGAAAATTGCAAAAATTGCAAAAACTTGAAAATTGCAAAATTCGCAATAATTCCTGAAAATTGCAAAAATCGCAAAAATATAATATGTATTTGCTATCAACTCTTTCAAGTTATTCCGGTATACAGTATTTTAATGTAGATATTGTTTCTATAATTTCCGAAAATGGGGGTTTATCGTACCTGTCCACAGGTAACTAATCCTTCAGGTTGGGAAAGTAGGATACATAAAAGTTAAGCAAGCCAACGTTAGTTTAGTTCATTGTACCAGTATATCACCTGACGAAGCTACTGTGTTAGCGAAACATGTCGTGTGTTTGAGAATTTCGTGGAAATCTTATCGTTTGTGAAGTTTTTACATTTGCCATGGATTTCCATCAAGTAACGGCCGAGTCAATTCAAAAAATATTTATTTATTTATTCATATGGTTCTCCAGGAGGTGCGCCGTAGCAGGCACCGACTACGACCACTCGATGCTCGAGAGCGACGCCGACGTCAGCGTCCTGGTCAACCAGGCGCTGGTGCGCGACCTGCAAAGAGAATGCGCCCTGTCGGACCAGGTGCACAGCGCCAGGTCGGCGGACAGCGCCAGGATCCAGGAATTCCTCATGCTGTTGGCCGTGTGCAACACGGTGGTGTGCGCCAGGCATCCCCACCATGACATCATGAATGCCAGCGGTGAGTATGTTCGAGATTTATTTGTGAGCTAAGAACATTATACTGTCACGAATAGGGTTATTTTCCTTCATTTCATTAAAATTCATAAAAGGTTCGAAGTCATTGAACGGTCAAATCTTTGTTTATTAATTCCAAAATTTTCGAATCGTGAACGAACTCTTTTCCATAGTTGTTGAACATAAACACAGGCGTGACATCGACTTCAACGACCTGATCGCCTTCCTGCCACGTTTCCGAAAATATAGACAACTATTTAAAAGACTTAAGTAAGCGGGTTCGACAGTTCGACTACCAGTTCGGCTGCGAGTTGGACTGACAGTTCTAGTTCTAGCTGTTTTGGTTATACGAGTTAGGGAAGTCGTACTTCTACCGAATGTGAGTTTGTAAAGTTGCCACTGTGCCCGAATCTTCGGAGTTCGGGCAGAACAGAAGATGCCCTTCCTCACAGGAATATTAGTTCATTTGTAAATATAGGGTAAGTTTTGATTTCATTGTAAGTCATTGCCAAGAATAAATGTGTGTGTTTGTTTTGTTTACAAACCTTTTTGGGTTCAATTTATTATTATCACTTATAAAGTTCATTCTCTAATGGATCTAGAACACAACTTGGGCAACCCCCGCCTACAGTTTGTGACAATACAACATTCGAGATGTACTCGAAAATCTACGAAGAACAGTGCTTTGAAAGAGCCACCACCACCACCAACTAATAAGAGATTGAAATGATTAACAGAATACAGATCTCAGAGAGTGGAATTTGTTCGTATTGTTTGTTTTTCTTGAATTGCTTGTTGATACCTGTGAAAGCTATAGCTGCTTGGCATTCACTGTTCACATTCCAGGTAGTCTTGAGTGCTGCTCTGTATCCTTAGGGGAGAACTTGGCAGTCTTTAAGGTTTGATTCGAATAGGTACCTACTTATATAGTCAAGATCCGGCTCGAAGGACCGATATGTTCAATGCTTGATAGATAGTGGACTGTATTTATTTGGTTGTTTAATATGATGATACGAAGAATGATAGAAATTGCCATTCATCTTGATTTTACTGATAAATCTTATGTTTCAACAATTCGTCGTCATGTTAACAACAAATGAAAAAACATACAATACCTAACTACTATATAGAGTCATAAAAGTAAACTACTAAACAAAATTCCATACTTGAATGATCAGTTACCAGTTATGGATGCCATAACATTTTCATATTCTGGATATTTACGATACAAATTTGACTTTTTTTTTCATTCTAGGAATCGTAGAAGACCCCAAAAATTTTGAGAGAATAGACTCGAACCGCAGCGAGCAAAGCTCGTCCAGTACCAACAGCCAGTCACTGCCCACTGACGAAAAATACGCTTGTCTGGAAACGGACACCCCTTCCCCTATTCTAAACACGTTCGGCTACGACAGGAGGTACATCCCCACTACGCTTACCCCTATCGATTCGGTAGAATCTTCTACGTCCGAGTACTTCCAAAACGAACAACAATCGATACAACGACCCAAAGTAAGTTAAAAAACAGATAGATGAAAGCCTAGTTGAAAATGAAGTTTCTACTTATCAAGTGAACTTTGAGAAATGATCGGAATTTTATGTTCCAAACAGGAATTTGACCAATAGCAATAAAAACTAGTATCATTGAACCAATTTACTATGTTAATGATTATTATGTATTTGAATTTGGCGCCGTTATTGCCACGTCAGTTGTCATCAAGTGATGGTTGACATTGTTGGCGTATTTCCGATGTTATATGAACTGACATAACTGACATAAAAAGCGTACGCCACATATCGGAAGATGTCAAAGAGGTCACTTCTAAACATGAATGCGAAAATCACCAGTTAGCGCCATTCAAGCGTGAGTATCTGTCAGAGTTGAAATACCCCCAATTCTTGTTAGATAGCCTTGAAGGTTAAATACAAGTTATTATTATGTTGAGTCAGGTTTATAAAGGTTATTCCACTTACAATGTGAACATTTCTGCGACCTTTGATATGCATTAACAGGGAAGAATATATTCTAGTTGCATTCAGAAAGCAAAAATACAAGATCTTACATTATCTATTCATGTTATCTAACAACTAAATAAATAAATGTTTGTCTAGCTGCTCGATATCCCGTCGATAATCTACAAGAAAGACAGCAACCTGACTGACGAGCAAAAGGCCAGACTGAATCGGGACGTTTCTAATACCTCTTCACCTTTTGAACTGAAACCCATCTTCGAGGCAGAGAGCCCTGACGAACTTGCTCTAGTGGATGCCGCGTATATCTACGGCTGCAGGTACATTCAATGAAAATACCGTTCTATAATTCTCTTTTCACAGAATCATCAGACTGAAACCTCCAATTTTTATATTTATATTTTTTCCTGGTTAAGAAAGCTAAAGTACATCTGGCTGAGACCTATACATGATTGTCATTTCAAATCTTTAACCTCACTAATCTGGGAATCACGGTACACGATAAAAAGTTTAGATCGACTTCATTTTCGATCTAGCTTCACTCATCTATTCTCCATGTCTCTGTCAGGTTGGTGAAGAGAACTCCTACTGCGGTGACGGTAGAAACTCCAGAGTTGGTGAAGATGACCTATGACATTTTGAATGTTTTGCCCTTTGATTCGACGCGGAAGAGGATGAGCGTCATCGTGAGGCATCCGTATACCAAGCAGATCATTTTGTATACGAAAGGTACGTCAAGAAAATTTCAGTTACTGGTAGTAAATTTTGTTGCGATTCTTAAAAACTGTACACTCTGCCCAACAGTGAAAAACAACACTATACAGTCTGTCCAAGATAAGGTTGCTCAGCATGGGGATATCGGAAACAGTAGGAGATACGAAGTCGGTTAAACCAACAGCCTTCGAAAATTCTCAATATTGTTTTTAGTTTGTCGGTTATATCGAAAAAAGTGAATTTTTGGAATATCTATTTTTTTTTCTCCGTTATTATTAGAGATACAGAAAAACTGAAAATACTATTTCATAGCAACTTTCGATGATGTTCAACGTGGTGATATCATTATTTTTATGCGACGTTTCGTATTCGTAGAACCATCATCAACTTTTGTTTTTTAAACACGGTCCTCATAATTGTTTGACATATTCTGAAAGCTTTTTTTATTCTGAATTCAACCATGTATTATATAAGGTGATTTGAATGTGTATCGACCTATTTCTATCCATCATCAATGTTTTTTCGAAATTCCAAAGGAAAAGTGCCATCAGTTCCACTTATTTCTGATCACTTAGTGTCAAACATTGATGGATTAGTTATTCAATACTGAAAAGTGAATAAAAAATATTTCACTAAATTATTCAACGCAGCGCTTCAAATTCTTAATGAATTCTTATACAAATTAGTTAAATAACTCAACTTTTTTTTTTCAAGCAAAAAAGAAACTTACCAACAATACCAACAGAAACATTCATAACAATTGTTCAAAATGATAACCACTATTTTCCAAACCAAGATATCCTCTTATCACAGTTGCTTCTAAGACATTACTAAGCATTTCTGGGGATATACTATTGAATGTTTCGATGACACTGTCCCTTAGTTCTTCTTCATCATCAAAGTTATTGCGTAAACAAAGATTTCGAAATATCCCCAAAGAAAAATCCAGCGGTGTCAAATCAGGCGGCCAATATGAAATGATTTGTCAAAATTTAATAATTAATGTTTTCAAATATTTTATTATTCATCAGTTCATTATAATTGTATAGTTTTAGGTATTATTGTTAACTATATACTTCCTTATACCAGAACTTGATTCTGACTGGAAGTAACATTTTCAATAAATAAATACTAATCCTTAAAAATGTCCATAATTTCTTTTAGGTACTTCCGAATACATCATTTTTGTGTCTGATGATGGCCTGTGGCCGAAACTAGTCACACTACTTATTAAAAAATATTTTCGTAGTCGACAGACTTTGTGACATTGCTTTTTCTTTCAAAGATTTCAATTTTATTTTTTTATCCTAGTATGAATAAAAAAATCAAAATTGTGTTTATTGGTATTATTGGGCTCACAATGATCTCGTTTCAAGAAAACAGTGTTCTTCCCCATTGCGGGGTCTATCTATTGTTATTTAGTCTGATATAGTGCTCATTAGTCAAAAATCTAATTTTCACATTCTTGAACAAATCAAACAATCTTCTCGATCACTTCCAGGAGCAGACTCGGCGATATTGCCACATCTCACGCCTGTCGAGGACGATTCCGAACAGAAGTTGTTCATCACGAAGACCGACCAGCACCTCAACTGCTATGCCAGGGAAGGCCTGAGGGTGCTGGTGATGGCCAAAAGGGTCGTCGCCCAACATCAGTACGACGAGTGGCTCAAAAAGCACCACGAGGCCGAATTGAGCAATCACAACATGGAGAAGAGGATGCAAGAAAGCTACTCGAGCATCGAATGCAATTTCACGTTATTGGGGGCGACTGGTGAATATTTTATTATACACTCACCAGCAAAATAAAAAAGGGCCAGCAAAAAATTCAACCAATTATAATTCTTGTCCGATTCTGGTGAAATTTCGACCAAATCGTAGATTCATGTTCCGGTATTAGCCTGAATTTTAATTCTTGAGAAAAGTTGATGGCATGACTATTATACAGGAAAAAACTAAAGTTACTCTTCAACCCACAACTTCTTATGGCAAATAGTCCAATAAATGAAGGAGGAAAAAAAGGCAAAGTTAACGTTAATTACGCACTATTTTCATCTTCCGGTTGGAAGTAGCTTTTGGTAACTCATTAAACATGAGACAAAGTTTGACTGGAAAACGCGTACGATGACGGAGAAAATGGCCCCAAAAGACCAGGAAAATAGGTTTTCAGCCAATATCTCCTAAAATATGGCAGTTAGAGATTTTCGGTTCAGATAAAAATTGAAGTTCAGTTAATTTTCTACAAAAATGATCCCTATCATTTTTCTCGAAAATTTGCCCGGTTTCGAGAAAAACGGCACGAAGCGCACCTCGAATAATGAGCTTCTGTGTTATATGCCGGAGAGCACAGTCCGTGTATTTACACATCGGCGGGGGGACAAATTATTCAATAACGCATATTTTCTCATGATTCAAATTTCATGTGAAAGAGGAATTCTGCTGCTATCATACCCTGCGTGGCCGCATGGTTTGTAGCAGACGACCCGAGCGCCACGTAGAGCACACACGCGGCGAACGACGGAGGAACGAAAGTAATAAATTATAGCGTGTACATTTAGATTTACTGTTTTTTTCCCGGGATATCAAAGGTATGACTTATATACATCGATGGAAAGGTGGGATTTCCCCCGTTACACTAGTTAAGGTGTTAAAATGTTAGAAATCAAGAGCACGGAAAAAAAAAACCACCGAAAAAAAAAGTGCGTTTTTTCCTTGACCCCGCTTTTTCTAATTTTATTGAAAAATGGACGACTTCGTCTAAAAAAGTAATTGCACAATCGAAAAGTAGACCTTCTTAGCTTTCAAATGATGTATCATAGAATTTTTAATTGATGGTTGTTCACAGAATTTCCCCGCGCTCCAAAAACAGCAAAAAATTGGGATTCAATAAACAAAGATTAAATGAAAATTAAAAAAAATTAGGGTATACAAATTTCAGGGATGACAAAGGACCTTATGAGGACCCATAATCAAGAAAATTTTGAGTAAATTACTTAGTGCAATACAAAAAAAATAGGAACAAATTCCTGGCGAGGTCAAAATTGACCGGGAGCAGAAAGTTTGACCCATGTTCCGATATGGCCAAAAGAGTCTAGCGTGACTCAATTCACAGGGTATGATAGCAGCAGAATTCCTCTTTCACATGAACTTTGAATCATGAGAAAATATGCATTTTTAACAAAGTTATTGAATAATTTGTCCCCCCGCCGATGTGTAAATACACGGACTGTGCTCTCCGGCATACAACACAGAAGCTCATTATTCGAGGTGCGCTTCGTGCCGTTTTTCTCGAAACCGGGCAAATTTTCGAGAAAAATTATAAGGACCATTTTTGTAGAAAATTAACTGAACTTCAATATTTATCTGAACCGAAAATCTCTAACTGCCATATTTTAGGAGATATTGGCTGAAAACCTATTTTTCTGGTCTTTTCGGGCCATTTTCTCCGCCATCGCACGCGTTTTCCAGTCAAACTTTGTCAACTTCAATGGCGTACCAAAAGCTACTTCCAACCGGAAGATGAAAATAGTGCGTATAATTAATGTTAACTTTTTCCCTTTAATTATTGGACTAAAAGTTGATAGTGGTTAGACATTCAGAATCATTCTCCAACCTTCTGCTTCTTCATCTTTTGGATTGGAGTGTGATCCTTTTTTGGTCCTTATTAAGAGGAGATACAAGTGTTTCAAGAGAGTATGAAGTGTGATCCTTTTTGGTCCTTATTAAGAGGAGATACAAGTGTTCAAGAGAGTATGAATTTTTTCAAAGTTTATCAACTATAATTCAGAACCTATAGAGCATCTTTGGGATGAACACCAGAGGCTCCCGCCGCCTTGTCAGAGACTCTTCAACAGGTACGATACGCCCTCCAAAGAGAATTTGTGGCAATTCCTAAAGACTGCTTTTTGATCAAGTCTATGTCACGGTGGTTGAATACTGCAATTCAAGCTCAAACAGGGGCATACTTGTTATTGATTACATCTAGGTCTGTTTTTGGCTTATTTTTAGTAAATAGAGTCTGTCTTTGCAAAAACGGAGTGGAAACAAGAGATAAAATTTTTCAGATGTTTTTTCGAGTAGTCAATGTAGGAGTCCATGTAAATTTTGGAAATGTAAAAAATCTATACTTTCTTGTATGTTTGTATGGGCGGTCCGGGACCTGACCCATTGTGCACCCACATTCCTGGGATCGCAAGTCAGCCATGGAGAAGGCCGATCTTGCGAGCAAAAGGGACCAACTTCCTAGGCCGAATCTTTTTAACATCCTCTGGGTCCCGGATACTGCCCCCAAAATGGATATTCCTAGCTGCCACTACTGCCGGGCATTCAGTGAGGATGTGAGTAGAAGTCTCTTCATCCTCTAAGCACCATCTGCATTCAGGATCCTCCACAATCCCGATCGTGCTGAGATGCTTGTTCAAGTGGCAGTGCCCTGTCAGAAGGCCCACCACCAGTTTCAGCTCCTTCCTGTTCAAAGCCAAGAGGGCATTGGTCTGTCTTCGTGACGGGTTTCCTGTATGGAGTTTGGACTGCCTCATTCCAGGAGCCTCTCTCCAGCTGTCCTGAAACCAGAATCGAGTGACCCCCAAGATTGGCTCTGGACCAATCACTGAACCCTTCAACCCCTTTCTGGCCAGACCATCGGCCACTTCTCGTTACCTGGTACCCCTGAGTGCCCAGGGACCCACAAAAGACATACTTTGTTCGTTGCTGACAGCCTTTGTAGGTTATCTATGCACTCTGACACCAAGGCGGAGGTCACCCTATACGAGGTGAGCGCCTTGATGGCCGCCTGGCTGTCAGTGCATATAGTGATTTGCTGGCTGTCTCGATATTCTCTCGAGAAACACTCGTATCTTCTCTTAAAAATGAGATATTGACGTGAAGAAGGGATGACAGGGATCCAAAACATGATGAAGCTCAGTTTAATCACTCACTTTTGCCACAGGGCGTTAAGAAGTTGAGCGTAAAATAGTAACTTTTATGATCGTCATCAGCTCTTTTTGGGAACTAAAATTCAGGTCAACATTTCGACAAATAAATCTACAATTTGGTCGAGAATGAACCAAAATCGGACGTGAATTGAAAAAGTTACAAAGCGATCAACTTGGCTAATTTTGTTGCTGGCTGTTTTTTTTTGCCGGTGAGTTTATGTACCGAATCTTCAACAATGATACAGAACCACGTAACAGATTACTATGCAACCAAGAATGCAGTCGTGTGTCTTCAACATGGGTGGAAAAGAGACGCCGCTTTAAAAACGATCACGTGGCACTCAATCATTGTTATAACAAAATCGAAAAATTACAGTATTCTTGTATTCCATGACTTGATTCACCAACCTCATTGTTCCTAGGTATTGAAGACAGACTACAAGAAGGAGTGCCGGAAACGATTTCGAGTCTCATATCAGCCGGCATCAAATTTTGGGTACTCACCGGTGACAAACCGGAAACGGCCATTAATGTCGCTTATTCCGCCAAACTCTTCTCCCCCCAAATGGAGCTGATCAAGATCATGGCGAGATCGAAAGAAGCGGCAGAAGCTACCATCTATTTTTATTTGTCTCAGATCGAACGGTCGCTCGGTCATGAAGAGACCGACACAGAAATGAGGCCTGTAGGTGGTAGTGGAGACAATAACAGGTGAGTTGGTTTCGATGTGGATACTGATATAATTTTTCAACACAAGACTCCAGACTTCAGACTTCTTCTTGACATTGACAGTTAACCTCATAATAATAAATGTTGTGTACAATGAACTCGATATAAACACCTGGAAGGGAGACTGCCGGTTTCTCGAATAGCACAGAGTGTGTCAGGGGTAGCTGCAACAAAGATAGCTTGTGTTACGGTAACCTTTCTCTTTCACATTGGTGTTTTTTAATGGCGGATTGGTGTATAAATTTTCTTTTATCCAATGATTGGAGTACTGGAGATCTTTTTTTTTTCATCTAAACAGGCGAAAAAATGAAGACAGAACTTCATTGTTTTTTGTTATGTAAAATATCGCTAAAATTGGCGTGTTTTGTTTCGTCATAAGGACTGAATTTCGTTGGTGTGAACTGATTATTGTTGAAAAGGTTCGTGATTTCGAATTAATAAACAATGGCTATTTATAAAGTGTTGCCGGATGCAAAACAAGTAAGATAAACGGAAATTGTCCTCCATGGGTAAGTTGAAAATCGTTCAGATTCTTAGAAAAACTATAGTGATTTATTTTCAAGATGTGTCTGTGGATGTATATGTTCATAACTTGGATTCTAAGGACAATGTTCATCATATGGACATTGATTTGCTTACAACTTCCAGCTCCCATGTAAGTTTCAAAGTTTATTGATAATGAAACCCACAAACTGTTTCATTCGAGAAGGCATATTCTATTGCGAAGAAAAGTGAAAACACTGAAACAAAAAGTAAAAAGGAGAATGACAATCTTGATGAAAAACATTTTGAAGGTAGAAACTACAAGTTCAAATTCATTTTAAACTCAAGAGCTACATTATAATATTATCTTTCAAGATTTGACTTTGGAGCTTCTCCTTCTCCAGGGAAAAAATGAAGGTGTACATTCTGGGCGACGCAGATTTTCATCTTTAATGAAAAAAATTCGTCCTAACATTGTACTTTTATTCACTTTTTATTCACCTTTCATTCGCCTCCTATTAGTGAAATGTTTATGGAAAAATAGGTACTCTTGAAAATTACGCTTAAAATAGACCTTATAGGTACTCGACACCATTCAAGTACCTCTTTTCAAATTTTTTCTATCGTTTTTCTATTTCTTCTGATAGTGCTGAGACATTGAGCTTCGTTCACCCTGTACAATATATTGTGATATTTGAATGAGAATATATAATTTCAATGTTGTATTCATTTGCCTTCCTAATCCTGTAAGAATAAAAATGGAATTTCACTTTTTAGTGAATAAAAAAATCAATAATTATTTTCGAAAAATAATTGATTGCAACATTATCCTTTTTCCTAAATGAAAATTTATATTTAATCATGTATACTCTTGAATAAAAGCAAAAAACGAGAAAATATTTCAAATAATGCGAGCGCTTCCCATTAGCCAAAATAAGATAGAAAGATATAGGTATCCGTAACCACTACGGGTTGCCTGAACAATATTTTTGCCTCGTCGTTCACAGAGGATCCCTTCCAGTTGTTTATATCGAGTTTATTGGTTGTGTATCGCATTTGGGTTCCAAAATGCTCAAATTAGAGATGCGAAATAAAAATATTATCGATTCTTATTTCAGATATTCGATTTCCAATGAAATAAGTCGGGAAAGAGCCCTAGCTGTCGACGGCAAAACTCTAACCTTCATTCTCGACAGGAGAACGAACTTAACCAAGCCGTTCTTGAAGCTCACTGAGTACTGCAGCTCGGTTTTGTGTTGCAGAGCTACACCTCTTCAGAAAGCATATATTGTCAGAGTAGTAAAGGTAAACATTCTATCACTCATACGCGAACGTTATTTTATCTAACGGCTGTGTTATCATTCTTGTTCAAACGATAGTCAAAAATCTTGAAATAATGCGATCAACATAATCATTGGTACAGGGTAGTCCTGAAAAACCAATTGAAAAAAAAATATATTGAAAACTGCTCGTGCTAATTTCAATATACAACTTCCGTCATTCATTCATCAACGTGATATAGATGTGTTTGTTCGATGACATTGTCAATAATTTGGTCTCTGCTAATATTTCAAAGGCGTATTGTCACTGAAATGTAAAGGGAACATGACATTGAGAGAAAGAATTGACCACATTTGTATCCTGATATGAATCCAATTGATTATGTACGTAGTAGAATTGAATTAAAGATCAGAGAAAGAGAGGGTGAATCTGAAAATTTGTATGAATTGGTGAATACAATGAGTGGGAAGCTATTTCCCTATTGCCCAGAATTTTATGAATACCTTGATAGAAAGCATGCATGCAAGAAGAGGCACAACTATGCATGTGTTATTCGACTTTTTGATGTTGTTCGTATGTCGAGACGCATTACAGCCTGCTATTGCAGAGGCGTGTAGTACTGGAATACTCGCATTTCAACTCCATTCCTAAAAAATCACGCCATTGCTCAACTTGAACATCTTGTTCACTTGAACTGCTTGTTGCTACCTGTGAAAGCTTCAGCTGCTTGGCATTCACTATTACTCCAAGTATTCTTGAGTGTTGATTTGAATAGATCCGGCTCGAAGGACCAATATGATCGATGCTTGATAGATAGAGGACTGTATTTGTATGATTATATGATATTAGATAAGGAAAAAGAGATTGATTTAAGAATTGCAATTCTCCTTTATTCATTGATTCCATTGATTGATCTTATGTTTCAGCAACAAGTTGTCATGTTAAAAACAAATGACAATTTCTGCTTATATTACTCAGGGTAATAAAAATACCAAACTATTATATAGGGTCATACAAGTACTAGACACAGACTATATCAGACTTAGCTACAGGATTGAAACGATTTTCATTTTTCTTAGGAGGAGATGAAGATGCGAACATTGGCGATCGGCGACGGCGCCAACGACGTCTCGATGATCCAGACAGCGGACGTCGGCATCGGCATTTCGGGCCAGGAGGGCATGCAGGCCGTCATGGCGGCCGATTTCGCCATCACCAGGTTCAAGTACCTGAGGGCGATGCTGCTGGCTCACGGTCACTGGAGCTACGACCGGCTGTCGCGGATGGTGTTGTATTTCTTCTACAAGAACGCGGTGAGTTTCGATGCGCATGCGCTAGTTTTTAAAACCGCATTTTGATTGTATATTGCGAACGTGTATTGTGAATGGCTAGATATTTCAATTTTTATTTTTGTGTTTCATATTCCATTTCTAGTTCGGTGGGCTAGACGAATGACTTTTCTTTTAAATGTTTCTTGAGTTTTGTTTTGTTAATTTAAAAAGCTAAATCACCGTTCGCTAATCTTTTTTTATTCATTTCAGGCCTTTGTTTTCCTATGTTTCTGGTTCCAGTTTTACTGCGGTTTTTCTGGGACAGTGATGATCGACCAAATGTATCTCATGCTTTATAATCTACTATTTACCTCTCTACCTCCAGTAGCTATTGGTGAGTTCAGCTTCGATAAGGTAATATTTATACAAATTTTATAGTGTAGTAAATTGTTTTTTATCTGACTACAATACCTTTATCATTCATCATACGAAAAATGTACCTAAAGATTTAGAATTTCGATTTTTGGTGGACTGAACATTATTTCAAGCTCCTGCTCGTCAGGAGGATCAGAAAGAATGAAATTAAAACATTTTGATACATTCATTCTTTGGTTGATGAAAAAATGATTGTTTGGCATGCCTTTTCAATTTGTGGGAATTCTGAAGAGAATGGATTTCATTTTATTAATTTTCCAAAGGAAATATCAACCATTCTCTTATGAAAGGAATATATGAAACGATCTGGGTGGAAAATTGATTTTAAGACGAGCAAAATTTGTGAGGTACATACATTAAAATTCACTTCTTGAAACAGCAAATTAGAATGAAAGTATATTAGAGGGTCATTTTCAAACAGTAGATTTTGAGATGCGTTTGTATAGACATAGCATCTTCAGGGGGCCGTAGCTCCTTTTCAGGAGACATTTTACGAATAATGTTCAATGAAACTTTTCCTTAAATTTTTTGTCGTAGAACTCGCTGGTGAAGTTTGTCAGGTTAATTTCGGGACAACCTGTATATAGGTACTTGTTCATGCATCATACGTTTCTTGAGGTAAAGATGATCAATCAAACTCTCTTTCAGGCGGCATTGGGCATAGAGACTATAGTTCTTGTACAGTCGTCTTCAACGAACATGTCGCGGTTGGACGGTATGAGCGCTCTTATTGCAGCGGTGATCAAGGGAGCTGACACCGTCCATGTGCGACATTATCTCTGAAGACGACTGTACCTTGCATCATTTCATCATGTGGCGTTTCGGAAATATTCAAGAAATAGCATCTTCAAGAGCCCCTTTCATTGGGCCGTAGCTCCTTTTTAGGAGACATTTTTCGACTCATGTTCATTGAACCTTTTCCTCCTATTTTTTGTCGTTGAACTGGCTGGTGAAGTTTGGTAATTTCTGTATATATACTTGTTCATGCATCATACGTTTCTTGAGGTGAAGATGCTCTTTTTATGATTTGATCTTCCTCATACCAGAATTTCAATCCTGGCTAGGAGCTATCTTCTCAAAAAACAATAATCATTTTATTCACCTATTTCTATTATCTGTATTTCTGCAAAAATTATTGAAAAAATCATGAAACAACAATTAAGTACTTTCATTTTTTCAGTAACCAACAATACGGTTTTAGGAATGATCGCTCGACAACCAGTGCAGCACTAAGTGTTGCTTTGTATTCTTTGTGAAGAACATGACAGTCTTGTAGGTTTGATTTGAATAGATCCGGCTCGAAGGACCAATATATTTCTATCATCTGTATTTCTGCAAAACTTATTGAAAAAATCATGAAACAACAATTAAGTACTTTGAAGAAAATCCTTTTTTCAGTAACCAACAATAGGGTTTTAGGAATAATCGCTCGACAACCAGTGCAGCACTAAGTGTTATAGAGAAAATAGTCGAGGGTCTTGAACAAGGTTATCACATGGGTATTACTCTATGTGATCTATCTAAAGCCTTCGACTGTGTCTCCCATAATACTTCTTGAGAAACTGAACTACAATGGAATCAGAGGCGTCACTCTCAGTCTCATTGAATCCTATTTAAGCGATCGATTTCAAACAGTATACTACAATAATGAACTATCTGATTTCAAAGGTGTTAGATTTGGTGTACCACAAGGTTCTGTGCTAGGGCCTTTACTGTTTATAATATATAATTGATTTTCCCACTTTTTATCCCCATACAGTTGCGTTATATTTGCACACGACCTGACACCAATATATTCTCATGAAAATCACTATTCATTGAATATCTTGTCTAATGAAATTGTAGAGAAAGCCATAAACTGATTTTTAGCAAACAATCTCAAATTAAACAGTGACAAATCACAAAATTTAATAGTCTCTACCAGCGCATTTCCACATGAGGAAAGGAATGTAAAATATTTGGGTCTCGCTTTGGATGAGACGCTAAACTGGGTAAGTCATATCAGGCAACTGAACCTTAAATTATCCAGCTCAATCTTCAATATGCGACAACTTGGGCACCTTACTAATATTACTACACTCAGAACATTATTCTTTTATGTATGAAGAAAGGTATACTCACTGAATTACAGAAAATTAACTTCATTGATGCTGATTTGTACAAATTTTATTTTTATTGACCTTATAAGTACTTGTCCTTAACAGGTATTTTTTGTGTCCCGTGTGCAGTTTGATGATTAAGTATTTCGGGTGATTTTATCTCTTCAAGTACTCATTGGAAAACACGAAATGCGATGGTGGAGGTCTCAGTTACGCGACTGGCCAATATGACGGCCATTCCAAGATGGCTGCCAAACTACATATTTAAAACAGCCATATCTCGGCCATTTTTCAACCGATTTTGAAAGTTTTTTTTTTTCGTTTGTAGACCTTTACGAGCGCTATCTAACCTACTATAGATTTCATCTGTTAAGGACAAAGTTCTACCAAGAGATAAAAGTGCCTGAAGCGGTTCCAAAAAGCAGTGACATCAGCACCTGAAATTGCATGCATTCCAGGCAGTGCAGTTGCTTGCTGGGTTAGAAGAATATCTTTGTTCTGTCTACTTGAGGGAACCAACGCATTACTGCTCAAGTGAACTAAGGTGGTGGCTATTTTCCAAAAAGCAAGTTGAAGGTGCTAGTCTGCCACCAACTTTAGCTTCATTTCGTCCTACAGTCCGAAGAGCACATTTGCAGGCAATGATTTGGAGTAAATCAGATGTTGCAACACCTGACCTGCCATGTCCATCAGAATGTGGTTGGAAGTTAGAGAACGGAGATGTGCAATTGTTCTGGAAATGAACAAAACTGTGACAATGTTCCCAATGAGGCCTGTGAACCGATGGATGAAAACGACGATGAAACTGGCACTGACAATGAGTAACGAATCACCCTCGAGTCTCTTCACTGATGAAAAATCGTTTGTTTTCACCATAACTTAAAATTTAGCGTGAAATGTGTGATCATCTTGAAGATAGCGCTCGTAAAGGTCTACAAACGAAAAAAAAAAACTTTCAAAATCGGTTGAAAAATGGCCGAGATATGGCTGTTTTAAATATATAGTTTGGCAGCCATCTTGGAATGGCCGTCATATTAGCCAGTCGCGTATCTGAGACCTCCACCATCGCATTTCGTGTTCTCCAATGAGTACTTGAAGAGATGAAACTAACCGCAATACTTAATCATCAAATTGCACACGGGGGATGCGTTAAGGAAACTGACTATTAATAAATTTATGATTTTTTATATACACCTAAATTGATTACGGTGATTTTTTCATTTTCCATTTTATGAATACACTTTTTTGTCATTGTGATTTGTCGTAAATGTATTGCATACATATCATGACCAATAAATCTATCTATCTATCTATCTATCTATCTATCTATCACAATCTCTTCCAGGCGTCTACGACAAAGACGCCCCCTACGACATCCTCCTCGACAAGCCCTACCTCTACGTGCGCGGCCGGCTCAACCAGGTGTACAAACCGTACGCATTCTGGCTGACCATGCTCGACGCCCTCTACCAGAGCGTGTGCATCTTCTGGGTGTGCCAGCTGGGGTACGCCGACACCGACGTCGACGTCTTCGAGTTCGGCACTGTGTCTACTACGGCGTGCATGTTCGTGATGCTGTGCCACGCCTCCATCGAGATACGATCATGGGTGAGAGAAAATAATAGATAATTCAACTATAGTGCGTTGGGTTGGTTCAAAAAAGTATAAGAATATTGTTTTTCTGGCTACCAGCATGAAATTTGGCATACATGATGAGAAATATATAGGAAACAAAAAAACCATCGAGACACAAGCTGTGTCCGGAAAATTTCGTCCGCCATTTTCTAAAATGGCGGCCGAAAACTAGATTTTTGCAGATATCTCAAGAACAGTGCAAAATTTTAGAAGAGTTTAAATTTATGAAATAAATAACATTACAAGGCGGACATTTTTTGTTTGAAACATTTTTTGTGAGGCTGATATTACGGTCAATGAATTGAATATATTCAGTGGAAAATCCTCGTATTCTCAAAAAATCATTTGAAATACCAACAATTACCCCGTTACCAAGTATTCCTACCTATTCATGAAAATCCTCCTTACACACGTGTTCATCTAGAAATATAGAAGATCTTCTTTAGCCTGTTTATCAGCGGCAAGTCAAAGTGTAGGAGAAGATACAGCTCAAAACGAATTTTCATGTTGTTCCGCTGTAGTTATCGATGGTGCTGCACTGGTTCATTCTTTGAATACAAAAACATCGAAGACATTCTCTGAATATTGTACCAAAGTATTTTTATCTGCTATAGACTTTCGTCTCCGAAAATTTGAAAGGGTGGACATAGTTACTTGCCTGGTAGCCTTCAAAGCTGACACAAGATTGAAAAGAGGGTCTGGAAAAGAGATTGTTGTAAGACCAACCACACCTATGCCGAAAGTCTTCAGTAAATTTTTGCAGTGTGATAACAATGAAAAACAACTCTCTACCAAAATAAAATCACTCGAGACTGATGGAAAATTAGTGATTTGCACTGATGAAGAATCAGTAACATTTGTTGGTCCGTTAGTTGATGGTGTTGATCTCGCACCATGCTCACATGAAGAAGCAGATATTAGACTTCTCATTCACGTAAAAAGTGCAATATTGTCGGGCCATAAAAACATTTTGATAAGTACAGTGGATTCAGATGTCATTGTTATTGCTGCTTCTAAATTCCACGAGTTGAAGCAAATGGGTATGCAAGACCTTTGGTTTGAATTTGGAGTTGGAAAAAACAGACGCTATTTCTCACTGTCAGTGATCTTGCGAGGACTCTCTGTTGAAAAATGTGCTGCACTACCATTTTTTCATGCGTATACAGGATGTGATACGGTATCATCGTTTCATGGTATTGGTGAAACGAGAGCTTGGAATGTATGGGGAAAGATGCAAGGAATGACAGACGTATTCATCCGACTGTCATCAACAGATATAATAACTGAAGAAGATTTTGATAAGATTCAGCTTTTCACTGTAATGATGTATGATGTAACCAGCCAGACAGAAACAGTGAATGAGTGTAGAAGAGTACTTTACACTCAGAAGAATCGAAGTGTGGAGAATATTCCACCAACCGAAGGAGCATTGCGTCAACACCTGAGGAGAGCAATGCTTCAGTCGCGTATTTGGATTAAATGCCTGGAATTGCAACCAAATATTCCAAATGCAACTAACTGGGGATGGAAGTCGTCAAATCTGGAGTGTCAAGATGAAACGATTGAACCACTTTGGACAGTTTTGCCGCAAGCATCTGATGAATGTACAGAATTGATCAGCTGCAGATGCAAAACAATGTGTATTAAGAACTGCAAATTCAATAGATTTAATTTGCAGTCTACTGGTCTATGCACGTGTGATGGACAGTGTACTCAATAAACATTATTTGTAATACTGTTGTATTAGTTAGTTCACCAAGATTCTTACTGATCTAATCGAACCTAATTAAACATCAAGCCTATAACATGATTGATATATGATTTTATTTAGATTAAAATAATTGACCGCCATTTTACGTAATGGTATCTTCGGTTTGAATCCTCAAGAAAGAGTTCATCATACAGATGACTTATGATCATTATTTCTGTGGCTAATCTCAGCCTGAATGTTTCCATTTTGATTTTTCTTGGGAAACCTTGAAAAATTGAATTTTAATATTGCGATTATTGGATTTTCAATTCGTCTGACAAAAAAATGTTTCGAACAAAAAATTTTCGCCTTACTATAATCTATATTTCATCATTTTGAACTTTCCCGATATTTCCCACCGTTCTGGGGATATTAGCAAAAATCCAGCTTTCGGTCGCCATTTTGAAAAATGGCGGCTGAAATATTCCAGATACAGCGTGTGTCCCGATGGTTTTTTGTTTTCTATATATTCATCAACATGTATACCGAATTTCATGCTGGTAGCCAGAATAGCAATATTCTTGTGCTAACATAACGCACTACTAGGGAAAAAACCGAATACTCAAAGTGGAATACAATGGTCACAAAGAGAGAGAAACTCAAAGTCATTACCACACTAGTTCATAAAATGAACGAAAATGGTAGATAACGAGAGAAAAACAACTACTTTCCTGGCTATATGCCACGCAGAAATTGGATTACATCCTCCCAAAATCTATGGAATAGTTCGTATAGAGGAATAGAATAGATCGCAAGTGTTTCCTTCCTAAACGCTGAGCTGCGCTCAAGTGTTTCAGGAACGCTGACTACCTGCAGCTCGGTTCCGAGCTGTTGGCTCTCATCAGTACAGGGCTGTCCCAGATAGCTTCTTCTTGACCGCTATCTATAAACGGGTTCTCAATAAATGAAGGGCCCTGTGCCCTGAGAGCGCATACAATTCATGTTATTGATATTTTATATACCGAAATGGTATATGAAGGGTAACTGCTGAAAGGTTTTGTTTTTCTGACACCATAAATTAACGGTTTTTTTTTAAAGGGGTCCCCCGTGCCCTTATGAAAGCGATACTAAAAAAGAAAATATCGATAAAATTGTTATTTCATTTAATTATCATTGTTTGTGGTAAAAATGACTGGTAATTTTTAAATTTGCGATTTCTCAGTAATTTCTAATCCAACATCCATCAAATTTCAAAATAAGTACAGATTTTCCTTCAGTTCTTCAGAGCGGCAATAATTCTAGTATAATTTGAATACTGTATGTAATTTCGTGCCTAATGATATGGCAAAACAAATTTCAGCACTCCAAGAGCGAATTATTAAAACATCGTAAGAGAAGTAAGAGAAGCTCTGGCGATGAAAATGTATGGAACTTCTAGATTATTATTCATTATGTCTCCACCAACATTTTAAACACTTGATGATGATCAGCTCTCGCGGTGTGCCTGTCAGTATTTTGTGTGGTGTGGACGGGCTCAAAGTATTATGCGCTGTTGCAAGATATAATCTGCTACTTTCCTAGAAAAATAATCTTTCATGAAGAAACGAATTCTTTGGCAGAATGACTGACAAGTTATGATTATCATTTTGTAACATAACGAAAGTGAGAAATTATAGATACTATTGCAAAATATCATGATTTATCTTTATTAGTAATCAACTTCGTCCAGCAAATGAGATTTATCAAAATTATTCATAATGTTCGACAAAGTAGGATTAAAAAACCTATTATGTCCATTTATGTTATAATATTTCAGAAAGTACGTCATATGAATGGTAAAGGAGCCGAGTTCGTCTTTCATTCAATTTTTTCTGAAGTGAAATTTGATCTATCTTTTTCTGAAGTGCAATTTGAGCTGACGAAAAGAAAAGAAGAAACACGTGCATATTAAATTTCCACAAACTATACAGTGAGATAAAAACCTCAATATTAGAAAATTCCTCATTGATAGACACTGCGATTCAATTATAAATAATTATTAAAAAGTATCTGCCAACTATACTAAACGCCAAACACGGATGAATGAATGAAATCGCGAATGGTGGGATAGCTATGCGTAATCATATATTATAAGACCACCAAAATAATAATAATATTAAAATGAAGATCGCATAGTACATGATACTGCGATTAATTCATACATCATTGAAAAGTACCTACACGTCAACAATCTTGAACGCCATACACGTATGAATAAAAAATATGATATATTTCATAGGTATCATACATCGGAATTTCTATAAATGTGTCCATTAATAAATCAATCGCATTGTTACATATTTATACGTCATTTTGTAACGTCTAAGTCAGATTATTTTGATGTATTCAATATTATAAACCCTCAAACAACACCGCCGCTGTACAAAATTTCTCCGTGCCCGAGAAATATCAGGTTACGATAATTGCAACTAACTTTTTTTCACAGATTCAACACTACCGAACCATATTTATTCACAAAATAGTCTGTTGTATATTAATTATTTTAATTCAGTTACTGAAACACCGATTACTAATCACACAACAGAAGAAAAAAACATTTTACAACGATTATTGCTCGTATGCTCGCCACGTTCATCTTTGAATATTTTATGTTTCATTTTGTTGTGTACCTTATACGATAACTAATAAGACCACAGAAGTCCGCAGTAGAAATAGGCAAAATATATCACTTATATTTTTTCTTTAAACACTTGAAAGATTATTAGTAGCCATTTGCTAGTTTTCAAATACATATCAACCAGCAACGAGTAGCCATCATGACAACATGACATAAGAATAACAATTATTTTTGCTATCAAAATACTTTCTTCAGTCCTACTGAACTGAAATAATAGTAAAACATTGCTAGTGGTGAAAAAAATACACCTTGGTAGTAAATAATAATAACCTTGAACTTTTTGTTTTTCAGACCATCATTCAAGTCGCTTCCATAGTTCTCTCCGTCGGAGCCTTCTACCTCTATTCTCTCTTATACAACGCCTACTGCGTAAATTGCTTCGGATTGCCTAGCACCTACTGGACAATTCAGATGGCCATGACCAGGCCCATTTATTGGTTGGTAACGCTGTTATCGTGTGTCCTTGCCCTAATCCCGCGGTAAGTACAAAAACTATGAACATCTAGATTTCATTCTCTCTTTTCTCTGAATATATGGCCTCTTGTCTTACGACATACAACCAGAGCCCTTATTACGGAGAATCCGTCCCCATCCGGCCTGGATACCGGCGAAAATGATAAGGTTTTGTTTTTCGAGCACTCTGGATGTCTCACTCGAAGTGACACCAGGTATTGTGCTCTTTTAGCACTTCAAACTCACAATCACAAAAACATTAACCTCACTCTCGACCTGAAGACGCCGCCCGTCTTCCACCGAGTTCGGAAGTCGAATCCTATATTTTATCGGAAAAGTGATGAGTAGCATGCTTTTTCTTCTTCTGAATCTCATATGCCGGTAACTTTCTTCTAGATCTTACACATTGTTTTTATTACGCCTCATTCAATCTACGCAACCTTGCTATGACTTAACAGAGTACGGACAGATCCTCGTCTTCTCTCACTCTAAAGTGTTTGTGAAACAGTTATATAGTTCCATCTTTAATCCTATCTGGGGATACACACTAGACTTCTGACATTTGTTGTTTCATAGATTATATTGTGGACATTGGCGTATCATACGTAATTTCCACATGTAATTTCTCATTCAACTCTACATATTATAGACACAATGAGAAAGTATAATACGCTATTTCATATTAGTTTCACCTCGAATATTTTGCTGATGTATTTACCAATTTTCCCCATTCGGCCACTTCACTTTCCATGTTTCAAGTTCATTTGCATCTGATGAAAAGCTGACAAATTCAAATTTGCCATCCAACCGATTGATACAGCCTAACGCAGCACATTTTACCATCCTTCCAAAACAGAATTGAATATTGTCGTATTGAGATAAAGTATGAAATTAAAATTTTGTAAGATCTCTCTTAACGCCTATGAGTGTGACGTGACAGCAATGTCATGTCAGGGACGCCAATACACGAAACCAAAGTCACTAGATGATTAAAAGAGAAAGGAGCTATGATCTGTCCGTACCCTATTAGATGACAAATACGTCAGAAGTGACAGAATTATCTCGAATATTCAGAATATCGTGATATTACTTCTGATTAGCAGTCAAAACATTGAAATTGTTAAAAAATAGTATTAAAATTTGCATGTGTTATCGATCAACTATACAGAATGTTGAAACTTTGAATCCATATTATGACTCAAATTTCATTATAAAATACCGTGTCAACTATTTCATTCTTCTTCTAGGTTAATGTACAGAGTGGGTCAGACACTTCTAGTTGCAGACGAGGTCACTAAAGTAATTCTTAATCAGCGAAGGGTTAACAGAAGAGGTGAGATTTTGTTGAATTTAAAAGTTTTAGTTGGTTGATTATTCATCTTCAAACATTTGTATCACTGTGGATTTTTTTTTTCGTTTCAGAATCAACTGTCAGGGGTCTCAGAATCACGCTTTAAATAATCTTCAAGAATCACCAATCAAGTGTTTGTATGTGATGGCTGTGATATCTAATCCTAAGGGACCAATAAATAAATAAATACATTATATTTTCGATGCACTACAGAACTTCAATTTCTACAGTCATGGACTATTTAAAATATACAGAAAAAAATTATTAAAAAAAAAACACCGTTGTGCCATTGTTGTAGGAACAAGTTTCAAAATGAGTGAAGTAAAATAGTTGAGTTCTGGAAGTCTATTTCCAATTGTTTATTTTATAATATTGAAGTTTATTTTCATAACCTAGCAGATTTTATATAAGATGTGGTTAGCGATTACAATAAACAAATTGATACTGAAAAGAGTTTTATTTCATCTCAATATTTTCATAAAAGCACAGATTAACGCTTACGAGGCAACCAGATTGAATTTTTTTCAAAATTTATTTATTTGGAAATTGCAAAACTGGGTAATGCAGCCATGATTCTGTTAACCTTCATGGAAGATAATTATATTATATTATCCAGCTGATGGTATTGAAGGCAGAAAAAAGCAACTATGAATATTTGCACATGGCGTTGGGAGTAATAAATTGATTTTTTCTGTGACGGGAAAAAAGTTTGGCATTTCATCCCTGTTGGCGGGTTATAAAATGTCACTTTTCATAAATTACTTTTTTCCCGTGGGAAAAAAGTGAGTACTTTTTTCCCGGATATATATCACATATATATACACTGTTGATGGCTTATTTTGTTGTGCTATAGTTCCGAAAAATGAGTCAATAATACCGTCTCCGAGAAAGAACTGCAAGTCCTTTTATCTTCCATTCGACTTCGCCGTTACGAATATTACTAAACAATCACAAAATTCGCAATTTTTTGAAATCAAATTACAGAATTAGACTGACAGAAGTGACATCAGATATTTGATTACTTCAAATGAATGATAAAGATGCCTACAACGCGGTGACCCTACTGTTAAAACTTAAAATTTCACGTCGATAATTTTCAGATTTCAAAATAATGTAATATCTTCTCAATATTGATTCGTCCTTTCTTCTGTCACAGAAAAAAATAGTGTATTATACACGGGAAAAATATTAGATTTTAGCTCACGGTTTGTTGTCTCCCTCCGCTACGCGTCGGGAAACAACACAACCTGGAGCTAAAATCTACTACTTTTTTCCCTTGTATAATAAATAACTATTTTTTTCTGTGACAGGAAAAAAAATTGAAATTTCATCTCTGTCGACAGGTTATAGAATGTCACTAATTACTTTAATCCCGGATATATATCACATATACACTGTTGATGGCTTTTTGTTGTGCTATAGTTTCGAAAAATAAGCCAATCACACCGTCTCCGAGAAAGAACTGAAAGTCCTTTCATCTTCCACTGACCTCACGGTTACGTAGATTACTAAAGAACCATCAAATTCAATTCAGATGTTGACCCTCCTATTAGGCGTGACTTAGCTACTCGCTTGGCTTTTTGACGTGAGGTTTTGATCATTTCACCACCCAACCATATTCATCTCCAAATAAAGAGACCGGACAGTTTTCATGTAAAATTAACATTTAATGATTAAATGAAGAGGTCATGAATGAATGCTGGCACATGGCGGGTTATTAGCAATGGAAAAAAAAACATAATGGCTTGCCAAATAAACATATCGCAGAACAACACTTGAAAAAAATCAGTACTCACATTACAACGTCTAGCAGGGGGTCGACCAGCAGGCTTGAAGTCGGGGAGACGACGAACATTTTCAATTGATAATTACTATATGACTTGTGTCGATAATGAAATGATTGCCTTATCGACTCGGCTACTATTTATATTCGGAATCGATGCTAGATTCGCAATTTTCCTCAATGGAAATGGTCGCTACCTTTCGACACTACTTACCTAGGTATTATCGCGCGGTAAGCGGTTTTTTGCAAATTATAAAGGAACTGACGTCTATGAACTCCGCTGACCTGATCGAAACTACAATGTACTGAATGTTTCAATTTGGAAAAGTTAATTTATGATGAATGATTTTTAAATGAACGGGAGTTTGAGTGATGTTAATTCATAAGCATTTGTACTTCTTGACAATATTTGTCACCAGTGATATTGTTCAGTAGCTGTTGAATTGCAGGTTTCAGTCCCAATAAAAGATAAATTTCCTCGCGATTGCTCTGAAACCCAGGATAATTTGCAGATGTGCAAAATCGACATTTCAAATATGTTTGGGTTCAATATGTAGATACAAACGGTAAAAAAAACAAGGTTTATTAAACTATTTTGCTTTAATATCTGAAGTGCCACATATTTACATCGCGTTCCGATACTACTGGAATAAGGTCGACATTTTCAAAGCATACACAGGGTTACAGGGTAACCTAAAAACTAGGACATCCCACGTGATTCCTGGATATCTAAGGAGTGGCTGAGGTGTCCTATTTTTTGGCCAGTATCTCGGAACAGGAGTGTTCTGGTGTGCAATAGATTTTGGGACATAAAAATCTTCTGAATCCAACTTTTTTTTTTCATTATTGTCAAATTGACCTTTGAAGGCATAAATATCATTTAATCAAGCAAATATTCGACATCTCAAGAAGTTTGACTCAGATTATAAAACATTTTTTTCTGTACCAGAATATATTGGTATATTCATGATGACAAAATGAAATATAAATAGTAACAAAAAATATTCCTTTAAAATATTTACAATATACATAATAAAAAACAATAAAATTCTAAATGAAACAATTTTAAATATAATAAATATATCACATTAAAAATATCAATGCAGTGGAAATTTCGCGAGTCTAGTAATGAAAAAAGATTGACGGGAAGATAAAAACTAAACATATATTATCTTTGGATTTGGAAGAAGTTCAGGGGAAAAGTGTCTCAGAACATCGACGCCTAATGGACAAAACACTAAAATGCTGTATTACATAACTTAGTACTTCATTGAATTTGATGTGCAGCATTTTAGATTAAAATATTTCGTCCCTTTGACATTATATACACTAATGAAGCTCAGCAATTTATTACATTGACTACAGCAGCTAAAATATGGACATACTAGACATCTTAATATTGATCTGACTGAAATGTTGACCAATACCACCAACAGATGAAAGATAACAGATGTCAAAGGTTAAGACTCAATGAACAACTTGGAAAAAATGGTATTGACATCTGTTAGAAATCAATGTATAAGTAGTATTGTCAAATGACTTCAACTGAAACAATTCAAAAATTCTATCCACCGTCCCAATCTATCAATTTGTTCTATAATTCCTTACAATTAATTCCCCGAATATATATATATTCTCTTTGAGAGGACCTCTTATGTTCAATCATCGTAATTTTTTATTTATATCATCACTGGCACTTATGATGATGGCGAAACATTTTCCACTTGAAGAGTGCAATTTATCAATTACAATAACTGCATAACTAAACTGATAATTGTTTTTTGTTTGCTTTAGAGTTTTGAATCATATCCAAAATTAAATGTGTTATCTTCAAGAGATAGCATTTAGAATTAATGCACCATAAAGGTAGAATAAATGTTGGTGTTGCTTACAGCATACTTCACGATATCTGACAAAAAAAAACAATTTGGCGTCACTGTGAATGTTCCATTGATGGCCATTTCAAAAGGAAAACTTTCCTACTTCTTTACTGTCGAAATTCCCGAAGTTAGAGAAGAGAGACATTCATATTGACTAGAGCTCCTAAATGTAATTGACACTGCTGTTTTGACGTTATTGGTATATTAGAGTACGGACACTATGACAAGCATTGACAATCAGACATAACCACAAATAAATTGATGGAAAAAGCGGGAACTGACAGTACACGGACGTACATGACATGAATCTTAAAGGTTTGAGAAATTGAGAGAATTAGGAGAAAGATGCAAGTTTGTGCAGTTTCCAACTGTGAGAACACGGGAAATCAATTGACTCTATTCGAATTTCCATCGGATAACGCATTTCTACAAAAATGGAAACAGAATATGATGAGGCCGGCATGGAATATAGGTTCAGGCCACAAATTTCTTGGTAGGATATAGAACATTTTTCAACACATTTTTATCAGGTAAACTTCAGAACGGAAGAACCTTATTACAATTTAGACTCTGGTTATTGCTTGTGATGGAATGATGGAGCAGAGATCACAATAGCCGCCATGGAGATCATGGTCGATTATCTGATGATGAAACAGCAGCAACTTCCTGAATTGACTGACTCAAACAGATTTTACTTTACATCTCTGTTCAACCAAGAATTCTTTAGATCATCTTCGTACACGAGCTCTTATAATAATTTTGTGAAAACATATAGTCACTTTGTGGAACTCTGATGTACCAGATATTGATGAATATATTTCAAAGAGTCGTATCGCTTCTTCAAAGTTGAAATCCCAATTCTCAATGTGCATGTTCATGCGTAGTTGAGAAGTGCTAGACGACTACATAGCTCCTAGTGGATTTTGAACCACTTCTTGGGTACCAAGATACGAGTAAGATATTATCAGAGCACAGAAGAAGAACGCTTAACGAGTGCACCATTTATGTTAGGTATTGAAAATGATCTTCCGATAGCCGGATTCAAACCAACGATCCCCTTTAGCAATGTGAACGGCGATCTATAGTGAGTCGAGCGTTGAAGTCCATTTATACATACTTCCGTATGTCTCGGAGAACCTTTATTATTAATCCTAGCTGAAATCAGCTGTTATTGTTGCCATACCATTTGTTCATTTATTAATTACACTCTTGTACAAGTGAAATTTTTTCATATGAAATGAAAGTATGTTTCTTGGTTTCATCAGTTTTTGCCCCATTCTGAACTTTTGTGATAAAAAAATATTCAACTGAACATATATATATACCTACATATACGAAACTTATTTCATAGGAATAGTATATGTATTTCGTTGGTATATCATTCATCATCATTCAATAATTCGAGAAGAAATAATTATCTAATCAATTTATCAAGAAAGATATATGGATGTCCTCTTCCCAGGACTTGTGGAGGAAGAAAGATGCGAGGATCCTTTATCTAAGTGAAAAACATATACTTGTCCTTGTCTGGCAAAACATGATTTGCTTTAAAATCGTTTGTTGTTATGTTTGATTGTCACTGCTTGTCTAGTGTCCGTACTCTGATAAACAAAAAACGTCAAAACAGCAGTGTCAAGTACATTTAGGAACTCTAATAGTGACCAGCCAAATAATTTATTACAGAGCACCAAAAGAACTGAACGTTGCTAGACTTTTAACGTTTTGCGGTCATGATCTTTCAACCAGACAACTTGAAATCCTCAAGGTAAGAGAAGGGAGACATTCATATCGAATAAACCAATCAGCCGAACATTTCCTATTAGACTTATTACAAAGCACCGAAAGGATCGAACGTCGCTTGACTATTGACGTTTTGCGGTGGCGCCACGTTGGCTTTCGGACTGCCGCCCATCGGTTGCTGGAACTGCATCGCTGACGGCATCATGGGCTGACTCATGGCCGGCTGCGAATTGAACATGGCCTGCGGAGCTGTGGACTGTGGTTGCCAGTTGCCGGACTTCGGCTGGTTTTTCGGGGAACTCCATTGGGTTCCTCTTTTTCCTACAAAGACGTTATTCGACGATCAGATTTCATTGAGAGTTGGTTACAATGCACTCTTAAGAGTCCTGTAAGTCAATTGAAGTCTTAGTAAGCCAGTGAAAGTCAATGGAAGTTAGTGTCGCTGGAATTCCATTTTTCTTCTCATGGTAGACATGGCATTTGTTGATATTTTGACGTTTTAATAGCAACTGTTGCCAAGGTATTATAAAGCAGTACTGGACAAGTGAGAAATAAAATTCAATGGATGTCCATGGAAGTCACTAGAGTTGACTGAAAGTTGATGGAAGGCAAGTCACTGCAATTTGAGAATCCACACTTACTAGGAGAAAATCAAGGTGAATAATTGGTTGGTTTTGGTTTTTTGAGGTTTTTGTAATCATATTCTCCCTACTGCTCCTCCTATGTAAGTACCGCCATTTTTTTTCTCTTATTTTGACCTATTTAATGTGAGTCATTGAAAACCACTGGAAACTGAATGATGACACAGTGAGTCACTGAAATTCAATTGAAGGTAATGTAAGTGAATGAAATTCAATGAAAATCACTCAAAGTTACTAGACGTCACCGTGAATCACTGAAAGTCACAGTAAGTCACTGGAAATTTTTGAGAGTTGATGAATGTCATACTATGAGTCACTATAGGTTACACTATAAGCCACTGGTGAGTCACAGTGAGTGAGTGGAAGTTTGAGAAAGTTAATGAAAGCCAATGGAAATTGATAATAATCAATGGTAGTTAATATAAGTCACTGGAAGTTGATGAAAGCCAATGGAAACTGATGAGAAACAATGGCAGTTAATAGAAGTCACTCTATGAGTTAATGGAAGTCACTGGAAGTCACTGGAAGTTTATGAAAGCCAATGTAAATTGATTAGAGCCAATAGAAATAATGAGAATCAATGGTAGTTGATAGAATTCACTCTAGGAGTCCCTGGAATTCGCTGGAAGTTGATGAAAGCCAATGGAAATTGATGAGAATTAATGGTAGTCACTCTATTAGTGAATGGAACTCACTGGAAATTGATGAAAGCCAATGGAAATTGAGGAGAATCAATGGTAGTTGAAGTTACTCTATGAGTCACTGGAAATCACTGGATGTCGATGAAATCACTGGATGTCGATGAAAGCCAATGGAAATTGATGAGAGCCAATGGAAATAATGAGAATCAATGGTATTTATTAGAAGTCACTCTATGAGTTACTGGAAATCATTGGAAGTTGATGAAAGCCAATGAAAATTGACGAGAATCAATGGTAGTTACTTGAGTCACTCAATGAGTCACTGAAAATCACTGGTAGTTCATGAAAGCCAATGGGAATTGATGACAATCAATGGTAGTTAATGAAAGTCACTCAATGAGTCACTGGAATTCACCGGAAATTGACGAAAGACAATGGAAATTGATGGGAATCAATGGTAGTTAATAGAAGTTACTCTGAGTCACTGGAAATCACTGGAAGTTGATGAATTCCAATGGAAATTGATGAGCGCCAATGGAAATAATGAGAATCAATGGTAGTTATTAGAAGTCACTCTATGAGTCACTGAAAATCACTGGAAGTTGATGAAATCCAATTGAAATTGATGAGCGCCAATGGAAATAATGAGAAGTTATTAGAAGTCACTCTATGAGTCACTGGAAATCATTGGGAGTTTATGAAAACCAATGAAAATTGATGAAAGCCAATGAAAATTGATGAGAATCAATGGTAGTTACTAGAAGTCACTCTATGAGTCACTGGAAATCACTGGAAGTTCATGAAAGCCAATGGAAATTGATGAAAATCAATGGTAGTTAATGGAAGTCCCTCTATGACTGGAAGTTGATGAAAGTGATTGAAAATCCCCAAGAGTCACTAGACTAGATGTTACAGTGACCAACTTGGAATTGATAGAAGTCAAAGTTACTAGAAAATAATAAAAATCACAGGAAGTTATTGGATGTAACTCAGTGGAAGTCTAAGAGGTCTGACAATATAGCTACCATCTTCAAAACACAGCACTCCAATTCACTTACCTGTATCCATAGTCAGATTCTCGACGAGAGATGTCAAACTGCTCTCCAGATCCCCAGTCAACAACTTGGAAGGCTGCGCCGGTCTCTGGGGCTGCACCGGCGCCGCTTGCTTAGCATTCATCACCGGCATGGGTTTGGCCGGATCGAACATGGGATTGAAAACCGACGACTCATTGGCACCCATCAAAGCAGTGAAATCCGCAGTCTGGCCGAACGGCTGCTGCTGGAATGCATTGGGAGCGGTGAAACCGTCAGTGGCCCACATATTGCTATTGGGAGCGCCGTTACCAGTCAAGCCAAAGTTGGGCGCTGTCGATCCATTTTGTACCGGCATATCGGCGAATGGGTTGCCGCCAAGAGATAGAAGGTCGTCCAGAGCGCTTGTCGTGGTATTACTTGTAGAGTTTTGTTGGGTAGTAGAAGTGGTGTTATCAAAGAAATCTAGTATGGGCTCAGCCTTAGGCAAGGGCTCTTCGCTCAAGAATGGGTTGGTGCTTGCTAGGGGAGAAGAGCTCAGCCCATAGTTAGTGGAAATGATCTCCTGATCGAAGGCTGATGCCTGGTTTTGTCCCTCAAGTGATGAGCTGAATGCATTACTTGTATCTGCCAATGTACTCACCCCAGACTTGAAACTCTTGTGGGCTGTGACAGCAGTAGGTGTGTTACCCTCCAAAGAGGCCAAGTGTGCTTCTAATGCATCTAGAAGACTGTTGGGAGCTTTTGCTAAATCTGGAATGTCACCTTTGTCAATACCAATGTTTTCAGCAACTTTAAGGAATTCTGCAACTCTATCCATTCGTATCAAGAACTTTTTGTACAAATCCAGTGCCTCTCTGCATTGTTTCTTGTTCATTTCAAAGTATTTCTCTAGTAAATTTATTACTCCATCATTATAGCAAGCAAAAAGCCTGATGAGATCACGAAAGAGCAGCATGAAGCACATGTTTATAACACCATTTGTGAGATCATTTACTGTGCAATCAAACTCGAGAAGAGCATCTAACTGGCCTTGCAAGATTGGCAAGGTTTTCAGTAAATTTTCGGAATTCATTGTTCGTAGGGTGCCTTCTTCTTTGCCACGTTTCACTTTGCAAAAATCGAATGCTACTAACCTATAAGACAAGGCTTTCTCGTTTAGGTACTTTGCATATCTTCTAATAAACGGGGACATATCGTAGCCCGTTCTAGCCCCGACAGCGCTCTGTACCCCAGTCTTATCAACGAAATTAGATAACTGAAAAGAAACGTTACTTGATGCCAAGTATTGCGTGAACCTTTCGTTACCATAGCACATTACGTGGTGGGTAGTTAGAAGAGCTTTATATACTACGACCCAACTAGTGCTTTGAGATCTTTCCATTAATAAATTGGCCATTTGAGGTATTGATACATTCGGCTCGTTGGTGCAGTGAACCAGATAGTCCAGATGTTTCTTCTTGGGGCCCAGCATTTCTTCGGTGGTCGCTTTGCAAACTGATTTTGCCAGCCCCTGGCCTGCCAGACTGTGTTTGGCCGCCAACAGGCGATCGTTGATCGTTTGGCCTGCCATGGTTTTTTGATCAAGTCACTTTCACCGACACTGAATCGAATTTTTCCGTTTTGAGTGAAATTTTTGGGAATTTATGAACTAAAACTCCACCCCGGTAGGGCAGCATCGATTATTAAAAAAATTGGGTTGAATTTGACAATCGGCTAAACAAGATCAATACAAAGGAAGTTGTCAGTCAAAGTCAAATTTCAGCGGGAAAACCAGGGATCACAGGTATTCAAGCATCTGTGAAGTTTGTATTTTTTCTTTTATTTGCACCACTGAGGTCTGTCATGTCAGGTGCAGAAAGTTTGAACCATTTGGCTTCATTTTCATTGACACATAGGTCAAATGCGTTTGACTAAACAATTTAGATTACAGCAAGAGCTTCATCTTTAGGAGATTTTGAGATGAATGGTATGGTATCTGTCATTATTATGTTTACAAAGATTAACGTTATTCATTGTCATCAGATGGCGCTGCGATGACCTTTGGCATTTGACACTATGGGATGATAGTGGTTGTTATGATGATGTTTCAGAAGTTCTTCTCGACCTCCCGAGAACAATGTTTTTAGCGGTTTTCGGATAGATGGCAGCATTGCACAATCATGACATCTGTCAATTTTTAAATTGCCGCAGATTTTTCGAATGCTGAGTTAAATAAACCCACTGTTACATTTGTTGCGCGTACCTGAAATGCCATATGCCATTTTTTCCACTCGTCACAAGAGCAATAGCAGCATCACCATCTAGCGAAAAAATGTAGAATCAACGGCTCGCCCGATGTGATGTAGAAAAATCATAGTAGGCGGTCCAGTGATTCTTCTTCTCAAGTTTTCAGCAATCATACAGTTCATTGGTTTTCAGCACGTAAAAATTGGCAAAGTCGCACACCATCTACTTATTTCCACCCTCGTGGTTGTACAATGTGAAAATCCTAAATCAGGAGAAGAAAATATCAACCTTGGTTTTGTAGTTTCATCGCCCTTCATGAAAGTGGAAAATCACGTTTTTTGTCTTGTCAGTTAGTTCAGAAGGAAAGAATATCACTTTTACGAATATTTGACGTTGACGTTTTATCTTTGACACAAATACCAAGGAAACCATCATCTCTGCCATCATGTAACCTTCAACCACCTTCAACCTTAAATGATGTTAATTTTTTAGTATGATAAGAAATATGACTGAGATTGTTTGCAAAACAATAAAACTCCATCGATCTCTCTGGACTAATTCTTCAGAGAAACATCAGCTACTTTTAAGAAGATTATCAACTATCATAAGCAACAAGAACAGCAGCAACAGGTTAGAGATACATATCAATATCATAAGAAAAGGAAAATAAATAGTTTCAACACTTTTGTTATTGTTGGCTTCAGAGAGCTGGTTCTGCTTTTGGTCAACCATAACTGTTGACAACCTGCCATCTGTCATAACCATCTCTCCCTTACCAGGCTTATTACAGAGAACTGTATATATTGACAATTACAGAAAACTACATGGTATACTGTATGCTACGGAATGGCGCCAAATTCGAATCTGATTGATCTACTCCTTGATTGATATATTACGCTTACTAAGCATAATATATCAATCAACGATCTACTTTACATGAAGCAGCATGATGGCCATGAGATGAGATGTTAGATTTGAATTTGCTAATTTATTTTTCAGGAAACATTATGATGTAGTAGTTGTTGGAGGAGGCATAGTTGGAGTAGCCACAGCAAGGGAAATGAAATTGAGGAATCCCAAGTTAGTGATATCCATAGTTGAAAAAGAAAATGCATTGGCTTACCACCAGACTGGTAATAACAGTGGGGTGATTCATGCAGGAATTTATTATAAACCAGGTTAATTCACTAGTTGAAACATCACACAATTTATAACTAGTTGGTATTCCTTATGGTTGTAGGTTCACTTAAAGCAAAGTTGTGTGTAGAAGGACTCCATCTAGCCTACAAATACTGTGATGCAAAAAATATCCCATACAGAAAAGTTGGAAAACTGATAGTAGCATCTACCCCCTCTGAAGGGAAAACACTATTAGAGCTTTATGAAAGAGGACTACAAAATAAGGTACCAGATCTGAAACTGATAAAAGGACAAGCTGCAATCAAAGAAATAGAACCACTTTGTACAGGTCTCCAAGCAATCTGGTCCCCACACACTGGAATTGTTGACTGGGGGCTAGTGACCAGAAGTTATGGAGAAGATTTCCTGCAAGGTGGTGGAGACATTTATCTCAATTTTGGAGTTAGAAGTTTCCAATTGTCTGAAGATCAAGATTATCCAGTACTTGTAGTTGCCAAATCAGGTGAAGTGCTGAAAGCCAAATATGTCTTGACATGTGGTGGTCTTCATTCTGATCAACTAGCAGAATCCACTGGTTGTTCAAGATCTCCAAGGATAATACCCTTCAGAGGGGAATATCTCCTGCTGAACCAAGAAAAAGCACGTTTGATAAATGGAAATATTTATCCTGTGCCTGATCCTAGGTTCCCTTTTCTAGGAGTACATTTCACACCTCGAATGGATGGTAGTGTTTTATTAGGACCAAATGCAGTGTTGGCATTCCAAAGAGAGGGTTATAGGTACCTATACCTAATTATTGTAAATTTCAGATCCAGATATCAACAAAAACATGTTCATCATTGTATCCAGGTGTTTCAACTTTTCCTTTGATTTTAGGTGGACTGACGTGAATGTATCAGAACTAATTGATGTTCTTTCATATCCAGGATTCAGAAAACTAGCTTGGAAATATGCTTCTGCAGGGTTGTATGAAATGGTGAAATCACTGTATGTGCCTATCCAGGTGAAGGAATTGCAAAAGTTTGTTCCATCATTGACTGCAGATGATATCACAAAGGGTCCAGCTGGAGTTAGGGCACAAGCTCTAGATGAACATGGTAATAATATTATGAAAATCTCATTATTTTCTTTGAAAGCCGCAAATTTGGTCACCAAAAGTCATGGGTACCTACTTGTTGATCTAGAACTAGGAATCTCTCATCTAATCATTTACTGCTCTTATTTGCAGAAGGCATATTCTAAAAATTTGTATGTCAACAAAAGTGAAAACCAAAAACATACCTAGACAAGACCAAGGAGTTTGGATGTACCCATATTTTGAACTCACCTTCTTTCTCAACTTTGTCATCTTTACCGGTTCTCCATTTGTCTGTAATTTTCTGAGTCCAGCAACATGGTCTATACCTCTGATTACTGTTCATAAGAGTCTATTCAACAAACGAAAAGATTAACAAACTTTCAATAATAATCACTCACGATTTTAACGATTTCAAGAATAAATCTGAACATGATTCATCTTTAACACAGATTGACGCCATATTTGCAGCTTTTTATTCAGTATACAGCAATGTTGCCAACGCGTGAGGTGATTATTTACTGATTTCTATAAAAATCTGGCCATTTTATTGGAAATTCCTATTTTTTAGCCAATTTGTACCAAATCTATCCCATTTGTCAAAGTGTTCCAAAAAGGAATATGAAATTCTGAACATACCATTTTATATTACTATTACGAAAAAACCTGCACTGTTATTGGGACTGGCATAACCTATTGAAATCAGGAACTAGGAAGAAATTCAATAATGGCTCAAACATCATTTACCATTTTGTAGAAAAGTATAACTACCTATACGTATTGCCACAGTAGAGGGCTTACAGATGTCTGAAAAAAAATTGAATAGTTATGATGGTCAGAAACAAAATGGCTAGAACTAGACACAAAACGAAAGAGCTGGCAACGCTGTCCAATTCTTGTGTTCGGATTGGCTGATTTGAACTTGACCGTTAACAACTTTTGGAGGGAAGCATGTAGATGATGCATGTAGCTTTGCCGCACAAATTTTGAATCAAATTCTATTGAAATATGAACAGTACACCGCAAGAATGACAAATTTGTCTATAAATGGCTATCGAGTATCGAATATCTGGAAATTTTTCACCGAATAGCTTTTATATACCACCCTAATAGCTGGTCCTAAAACGATATATTAAAGAATCAGAACTACATCACGCTTTGCGATTTTAGCCATTTTTTATGTACGGTTTGACTGGCGTAGTAGGTCTTCCCCATAGAAATCATATGATATATATTGTATAATATGATTTCTTTGGTCTTTCCTAGCACTCAATATGGTGACCGAATGCCACATTTTTGAGTACATATTTTTGTGTTTTTATTTCCACAGGTAATTTGGTAGATGATTTTTACTTCGATATGAATAGAGAAAAGAATGGAAATTCGGTTGGAGACAGGGTGTATCATTGTAGAAACGCTCCAAGCCCAGGGGCGACCAGTTCATTGGCCATTGCCAGGATGATAGCAGGAAAATTCATGGATGAATTCAAACTACATAATCAAACATGAAATTTAATGAATTTATTTTACACTGTACTTTACCAGAATGAGATTTATTATATACTTCTATAATTTTAATTTTTCATCGATCTTTTGAATCCAAAAGGAAGAAAAACAGCAAGATGTAGCTGTAGAGTTGAAATAATGAAAAATACCGGGTGGTCACATTTCGATTTTCAAATGGGAAACCCTGATATGATGTATATTTCCACATTTATTTTTTATTTAGGAGGTCATCATTTCACATAGGTAGAGTTGTATGACTTTTACAGAAAGACATCATCAACTTTCCGAAGGCAAGTACTTTTCGTCCGCTGCCGCAGGGTTGCTAGTTCTACAGAATTTTCAGTAGATCTATTGATTCGCATAATTATTGACCTACTGATTTACTGAAACATTTCATAATCTACTGAAAAATATTTCGATATTCATTATTATAATTACCTATACTATTATTGATCTTCATTGCATGATATTTCAGCTCTGTCTAAATTTATTTTACAAAATAAGTAATAAATGTACATGTACAATACAAATATCTGATCCAGATCGAATTCAATTTTTTATATTCCATCCGTTATAACAGTTTGTTTCTTACGTTGAAATTTTTTTATTTGTCTTGTATTTTTGATGTTCATTTTTACTATTCGTTCCTTTTTTATTATATACCCAAATCGTATAAGTACATATGTAACTTTCTGTGATATTTGTGAGTATTTTTGAATTGAGAATTAGGCATATATGATTATTTTTATATGAGAATGTTTATTTTGTTGGGAAGAGGTTACTTTTCTGTTTACTAAAAGTAGATAATGTTTTGACGTCCTAGATTTATCTCATTATCCTTCCTTGGAATTCGTTTCTTAAACAGATCTATTAAAACCTACTGAATTTTTGACAAAAGGTATTTTCTGATGGAATAAAAATCGAACTGGCAACTCTGGTCCGCGCGGAGAGCGAGTTGACAACAACTGTCATTTGCTGCTGTCAAATTAATTATTCACGAAATTCACGTGTGAATAGGACCGTGATGTGAATATAAGTGTTTGCTTGAGGTCGACGAAAAAATGTAACCTCGGCGAAAAACTGTCTGTTGTCTCGGTTGATTGCTAGCATCGGCTAATAGACACTTTTTCGTCCTTGGTACATAAATAACTATTTATAGTTCCATAAGTCGTAGTTCTTATGGAACGGTGACCGGTCGAAAAAATCTAAACCTCATTATGTATGTTTAATCAACCTGTAGACACTTTATTGCATTAATAAGATTATAAAGGTTATCATGTGTAGTTTATACAGGGTGGCCCATGATTATCCTGCCAAACTTCATCATTGGCGCGGCTTCTACGACCAAAAATAAGAAGAAAAGTATATACCTACCCATGAACATGATGATTTTATTTTCACTCCATTGTGCATAGAAAGTGTACCGAATTGCATCAATTTATCACATGGCGTTTAGAAATTATTAAAGGAATATCTTCAAGGCGAGCCCCCTTTACGGGCCATTTTTGGACTCATTTTTATTGGAACTTTCCTTCCTATTTTTGGTCGAAGAATGAGCTTGTGAAGTTTGACAGGCTAATTAAGACACCCTATATTTATATACAGTGTGTCCACCTTAAGGACTTACCACCCCTGTAAAATCGTTATTATCCGACCAATTTAAAAAAACCTTTTTTTGTTGGATAGGTATTTGAAATGCCCATCCAACGAGAGAGTGATCTAATTCTTGGACTGTTATCGTGGCCAACTGCGACAAATTTCAATGACCCATTTTCCAGAAAGTACTATTAGGGATTTTTTTCCACGAAACTTGATGATGGATTCTGAATCAGTATCACTTGAAATATACCTGTACCGATTTTCATCATCATGAAACACAGGGTGTCCGAAAAATCGAATCATCATTTTCTTCACATAGGTGATCAGCAAATGTAGTTCTGTGTGGTTTTTCTAGAAAGAAATAATCACAAATTATCATTGAGGATTATTTCAAATATACCTGTACCAATTTTCGTCATTTGAATATACAATGTGTCTGAGAAAAAAATTAAAAAGGATAGGTAAGCAATCTTTTTCATCCTGATAATTCTTCACTCAAAATAGAAAAATGAATCAGGATCACTTGGAACATACCTGTACCGATTTTTTGAGTTGATGAAAAAATATTGCCTACTTTTTCTTTTTAATTGTTTTCTCATACACATCGTATTTTTGAATGATGAAAATTGGTCGAGATATGTTCAAAGTGATCCTCAATAATAAAGTGTCATCAATTTTTCTCAAAAATACCACAATACTACATTTTCTGATCACCTATTAAAAAAAAACATTATTCGTTTTTTCGGACACCCTGTGTTTTATGATGATAAAAATCAGTAATGGTATTTTTCAAGTGATCGTGATTCAGAATCCATCATTGTTTTTTGTGAAAAAAAATCCCTAATAGTACTTTCTCAAATATGGGTCAATAAAGTTGGTCGCAGTTGGCCACGATTACAGTTATTGAGTAAAATCACTCTCTTGTTGGATGGACATTTCAAATACCTATCCAACAAAAAAAAGTTCTTTGAAATCGGTCAGATAATAACAATTTCACAGGGGTGGTAAGTCCTTAAGGTGGACACACTGTATATGTAATAAGATTCACAATGTCAAAACATGAATTTTCATTAGAATTACACAATAAGAGCTTTTTTTGGCTCGACATGTATCATTAAGAATTTTGTTGCCTGGCAATTCGACGAAAAAAACTGCCTCCAAAAAACTTACGAGTCCGTAGGACGAGCAATTTTTTGAGTTGAATTACCTAATGGCAACAAAATTCGAATTATAAATGCCAAATTTACTTAGACTAAAAAAAAAGCTAGAGTGTAATTCGGTAAGACAATTTAGTTCATCAAACATTTGTTTATGGCTGGTTGTCATGTTTTCAAAAGTTAGGTTTCGTTATTGTCGCTGGAAAAGTTAGGGCAAACTTTCTCCGCTGTCATAATGACAAAATCACGCGGCTTGTGGAATTTTTCATACATAAAAAAAATTAAATTCATTAAAATCAGTGACCTCACCAAACACAGAGTTGAAAAAGATATGAAACTAAAAGAATCTGAAATGTTTGATAGAAACCGCTAGCTGCATCACCGATATATCTAACCAACTTCATAAACCTAATCAAATATATTCTAGTTTATGCAGTGAAATACTGAACGTTACAAAATATTAGTTGTTATCTGAAAGATTTATTATTAAAAAACACTACACTTATCAAACATCAAACCCTGTAACACAAAATAAATTCCAATTATTGTTTTTGTGTGATGTAACATAGATCTGTTATGAACATCAGCATTCTTATCATTCAATAATAAATGACGAAGCAGTATATGTAGAAATTTTAGAAGACAACATTTTTCCATAAGGTCCAGTTCACTGCAGTTTGTTCTAACATAAGGAAAAATAAGGTAAGAATAACCTTGACTAGAAGACGAATGTTGAATCAACGCAGAGTCCTATATGGCCTGTTCATATAAATAACTTATATTTTATTAATATTCAATTTCAACTTGTCTATCTGTTGAGTAGAAATTAAATGTAAATCAAGTATGGTTAATTTTTATGAACAAACCTTTAGGTTTTCAAATGTTTAACAAAACTATTTTTTTACATCATTGTATGTGATTGTATGTGATTCTATCACATGATTATTTCCCATCGCAAATCTACTAGAAATGATAAATAATGCAACGTGGCAATAATTTGTTTTCTGTTATTTAGTGTCACAATTTGTCACAATATATGGCGACTCAAGGTTAAAATGGTGGTCATAATTATTATGAACACTATAGTGTCAGTATGAGATTGAATATAATCACTAATTGCAAATATGCGAAGAAATACAAAGTTAGTGTTGAGAATTTTCCGAAATTTTGATCAGGGGCGTGGGAAATGGGTGGGGCTGGACTAAACTTCTTTTTTATGCAATTTCCGGCAGTTTCACAAGGAAATATGAAAATATCATCATTTTTACTTAAAAATGATACTCTTATGGTTAGTTTCGAAAGCACTCACCATTTTCGAGATAAATCGATTCTAAAAGTTTGCTGAGTAGGTAACAAAAATAGTGCTTTTTTCTTATAAGGTACCAAATTTTCACAAAAATTATTTTTCTATATAGAAAATAGCCATTTTTCAATTTCTACTTGTGATGTTTGACTCAGAATATGAGAGTAACATAAAATAGAAGTGCAATTTTTAAAACGCAGCAGACTTTTAAAATCGATTTATTCCTAAAATGGTGAGTGCTATCAAAACTAAACAAGAGTATCATTTTTAGGTGAAAATTATGATATTTATATTTCCTGGTCAAACTGCACAAAAACTGAATAGAAAAAAAGTTGGGGAAAGAAAATTTCGGAAATTGTTTTCAACATTTCCAAGGAAAAGTAATACACATAAATTTCGTATTGGTAACGAAACGTTTGCGGGCACATACTTATAGAAAAAAAGTCATATTTTGACCTGGAAAATGAGTCCCTGAAATATTGATAGCGAGTTTTGAAACACTGTATACCTACTATATTTTTTAATAAAGAAAAAAGAAATAAACAATGAAAGGCACAAAGTCGATCGACCACAAAAATTATTTAAGTGTTACTAGTTTCGGCCACAGGCCATCATCAGACACAAATATTGATCTATTTTAAAGAAGTGCCTAAAAGAGATTCAGCAAAATTCAGATTATTATCAGTCATGTAATTCGACATAGTTTTAAATCTGGAAAAGTTCTAGTAAAACCCGATTAACATTTCATGATTTTATGTGATTTATTATTTTTCTGGTTCTTTGAATTCCATCGTAGCTTCCTTTTGAATTATAACCTGATGAATCTCACGTGAGAGAATTTTCAATTTTTGAAAAGAATTTTTCTAATGTACTCCTTCAATAATGAAATGTTAATCGGGTTCTACTGGACCTTTTCCAGATTTAAACCTATGCCGAATTGCAGGACTGATCATAATCTGAATTTTGACCTAGGTTATAAAGTTTTTCTCACTATGTATTGCTGAGGAGCTGAGGTTAGTACAACTTGACTTTTTTTTTACTCCTTAACAGTGTCGGAATCTCTTTTAGATACTTTTTCAATACATCAATCTTTGTGTCTGATGATGGCCTGTCGCCGAAACTAGTAACACTTCACTTTTATCAAATAATTTTTGTGGTCGATCGACTTTGTTCCTTTAATTGTTTTTTTTTTGTAAATAAATTGGACCACTTTGAGAAATATGGATGTCTACGATTTTCTATGATATTCTTGATTAAACAGCGTTGCAAAATGACCGACCTCAATACCAATACGATCACCACCAGATCTTTGGGCATTGGTTCCGAGGGTATAAAGGACCAATACGCGGACGGAAAAGCGGCCAAAGTTTGGGAAATCTTCATCGGAGACACGAATTCCAGGACGCAAACCTACCGCAATTTTCTGGTAGGTCTCCTGAGAGCCAGGGGATGCAAAAGAATATTGGACGTAGCCTGTGGAACAGGGTAAGGTATTTCGCAGAACCATGATTTTTTCCGGACCCCAATATAATTATGAAACCCTGTATGGATTGACCTAGTAACGAAAGACAAAATGAAATATTGTTCCCTGTATGGGTTGACCTATAGTAGGGAAAGTTAAAATGAAATATTTTTCAGGATATTCTACCTCAATATTTTATTGTCAACCTATTATAGGTGAATAATAGGGTTTTTTGATTGTTTACTGGTCACCAGAGTGATATTAACTGGAATCCATTTCCATTTGGCCAAACTTCAAGACCATTTAAATGTACAAATCAAAAAGTGACAATTTACGACCTGATTATATATACAGTGTGACCCATTTTTAATGGAAACACCTCCCTAAAATTTGAAGTTGTAAAGCGACTTAAATTTTTTTTTTTGAAATGTAAAGCACTAAAAGGTCTACCTTGGGACAAAATTTGAAATGTTTATCCCAATTTTCAGGGCATACTACGATACTTTTTCTTAGTCGAATATAGGGATTTTTTTATTGAAAAAATCACTACGCCACTGGATTCAGAGTGCCTCTAAACAGGTGTGACCAAAATTTCATGAAAAAATATTCATTAATAAAAAAGTTATCGACAACTCAGAAATTCGAAAACTTACACAGCTAACAGTCACAAAAACACCATATATCAACAGATATAGCCATAAGAATATTTTTTTGAATTGAATTGTTACTTGAAAATCCCTAATGATAAACGAAAAAATACCTATATGCATCCATGTACAAGCCGCTTCAATTTGGATGGCAAGAAATCACTATTTGCATTATAAATCTTCACCTTTTCAACTCCATATCAAAATCAAAATTAATAGAATTTATGGTACATTGTTCTGGGACACCTTGTATATCTCACACATTTTTTTTTAGAGTTCTTGCTCACTTCTCATCCTAGGTGTATAATAAAATATCATTGTTTTTCAGGATTGATTCAATTATGTTGCTTGAAGAAGGTTTTGAAGTGATATCAGTTGACGCCTCAGACAAAATGCTGAAGTATGCTTTGAAATCGCGGTGGAATAGAAGGAAAGAGCCCCAATTTGATAGATGGAGTAAGTGTTTCATAGATTGTTTTCATATTTCTACTTCTTTTACTAACCAAGTGTTGGTTACATAAGTCATAAAACAACAAACATACCCAGATACGTACACAAATCCATATGGTAATCGAAAATTACAACTGTATTCTTCACTTTTATCGTATTATCGTATATCGTATTTCAACACCTTGTATCTTGATAACGGATGCAGTTACTAAATTTTTTTACTGAGTAAACCCAACTTATTTTGCAGTGTTCTACCTACCCTAGCAAGGGGGTTAGGTTTTTTTGAAACACCCTGTATATTATACACTGTTGATGGCTTTTGTTGTGCTATAATTCCGAAAAATAAGCCAATAACACCGTATCCGAGAAAGAACTTCAAGTCCTTTTATCCTCCATTCGACTTCGCGGTTACTAAAATTACTAAACAACCACCAAATTAGTATTTTTTTAAATGAAATCACAAAATTAGACAGATAATTGATTACTTCAAAAGAATGATAAGGATGTCTGCAAAAAGATGCTTGCAACGCAGGTGTCATCCCTGTTAAACACTTCAAATTTCACGTCGATAATTTTCTGATCTTATACAGGGTGTTCCGAAACTATTGTGCCAAAATGTAAGGGTGGGTAGATCTCGCCAAAACAAACGTTTTTTACTTATCAACCCATAGGCGCATGCACCTTATTTCGTTACCAATGGGTATCACAAGAAAAAAGTTTAACATAATGTGCATACTCAAATAATATCGATATTGAGTGCCCAGCTCTACCGATTTTGACGTATGTACATACATAAATAAATAATATCGATATTGAGTGCTCAGCTCTACCGATTTTGACGATCGACACCAATCGCTGCGCTCCCGACACTCGTATTGCGTAGACTTCTCATTTATTTATTTTATTTTTATTGTATCTAAATGATCTAGCTTACTTGAACATAACAGGAAAATTCACACTATTTGCAGACGACACCACTCTTATATGGCATGGGAAAAATATAGATACGCTCAAAGAAGTAATTTCACACGACTTAAACATGGTCAAATCTTGGTGCAATTCAAACTCTCTCTGCTTCAACACCAACAAAACGAATATTATAACTTTCAAGTTCGAATTTGACAATCTCACGCTTGGTTCACATCGCGTTGAAAACAAATCGAGTACTAAATTCTTGGGTTTGCACATTGACAACAAATTGAGATTTGATAAACATATTTTGTCACTAAGAAAAAAGCTAGCGTCAGGTTGCTATGCTGTCAGAATTGTGTCAAATGAGCTTGGTTCTGATATTGCTAGAAATACTTATTTTTCCCTCATAGAATCTTATATTAGATATGGTATAGTATTCTGGGGCTTTTGTAGCCAACATTTACTGTCCACGGTATTTGTTCTACAGAAAAGAGCAGTGAGATACCTTTGTAAAGCAAGATCTAGTGACCATTGCAGACCTCTTTTCATTAATTCTGAAATTTTGACACTTACGTGCCTATTCATATTGGAAACTGTTTGTTTGATGCACAAAAATCAGCCTCTGATGAGTGGAATCTCTTGTGATATAAATGTACATACAAGGAATAAAAATAATATTAAACTACCAATACCAAAGACAACGCTCACCAAAAATTCTGTGATTTATGAAAGCAGAAAAATTTATAATCATCTGCCGCAGCATTTAAAAGCATTCGAAAGTTTGAAAAAATTCAGAAAAAGTGTTGCGGATTTTCTCTTACCAAGAGCATATTATGACCTGCAAGAATATTACGATGAAAGATTCTAGGTTGCAACTATGTTATTCTGATATATATGTTGATACTACTCATTTCATGTAGGTATTTCAGCAAGATTATTATGATGTAACTTTTTTTTATTCGTGTGTGTTGAATTTACATTATGTACCTATTTGTATTTTACCGTAACTATGTTTTACAATGTTAAATTTATTTATTTTTATTTATACATATTATACATAATATTATATAACTTCGTATTGGACACAGTGGAAATCCACTACAATAATTGTAAACCATGCTTTGTCAATAAGGATTATTATTCTTGGACAATAAAGCACAGTATTGATTGATTGATTGATTGATATTATTGCGTCGTGGCAATGTGTAAAACCTAACTAAATCTAAATTGTAGTGTTTTTTTTTATAAACTCTCCCATATATTGCTTGTGATTTCATGTCATTTACTAACACGGTTTCCGCTACAAACACGTTTCCCCGTGTCTGAGGTTGGATACCACTGCGCGGACCTTAATGCGCTATTATCACTGAACGCATGCGCATGCGCCTATGGGTTAATAAGTGAAAAACGTTTGTTTTGGCGAGATCTACCAACCCTTGAATTTTGGCACAATAGTTTCGGAACACTATAATATAATGTAATATCATCTCAATATTGATTCGTCCTTTTTCATGTCACAGGAAAAAATAGTGTATTATAAACGGGAAAAATAACGTTTTTCTACAAACGTCAGTAAAAGTATTATTTTTGACGCATGCTGTCAGTGTCTAAAATGTCATTTTATGACACTGGTGTTAAAAGTGAATTACTTTTAGCACTAGTGCTAAAAGTGAATTATGTTTGAGAGAAAATATAGAAGGAAAACTCGTACTGCCGCTTTGACTAACTAGGCAATAACTCAAAAGCAGCTTTACTGGCAGCATCTTCAATTTCCGGCAGTAGAAATTCATTTTCTTGATCACTTTCCATCGAGGAACGAAGAACCGAGAAAGAATAATTTGTGATTTATTGACGTTAGTTGTCAACAAAGACAAATCAAAAAATTCGGTTTTTGTGTAGGTACCTTGGCAACTTGTTTCATGAATAGATTAGATGAAATTGGATTCAAAACTAACAATAATTTTATTAGGTATGCGTTAATTTGAACTTTTATTGGTGTTTGTAGAAAAAATAGTGCATGATATACCTGCTAAAAGTGATTTTATTTTGTTCAATGGGATGGACAACTCCGCCTTCGGCGTCGTGTCCCAAACTTCCCTTCTCACAAAATAAGATGTCACTTTTATCATAAATAACATCATATCATATCATAAATAACTATTTTCCATTGAATAATATTGGGAGTTTTCATCGAGTGCAGAAACATTGAAAACATTAGTTCAATACAAACTGTCTGTCTTTATTGTAGTTATTGAGGAAGCAAACTGGTTAACACTCTATGATGACATCAAAGACCTCGTCGGAAATGGTTTCGATGCAGTTTTATGCTTGGGAAACTCATTCGCCCATTTATTAGACAGTTTTGGAGACCAACGAGAACAGAGGTAGGAAAATATACTACAATTTTCAACACTTTCTTCCTTCTATTCATATGGATATCAGTGGCGGCTCGTGACTTTCATGACAGAGGAGGCTGAATGATATGAGATTCAATGTGAAAAACAACTCTCTACTCACCCAAATCAATAGCTTTAATGATATTCTGTTTACCAGTTAACCTGAACTTAATACTTGAAGAGATGTGTTCCTGTGATTTGCAGTGTCTATCCAATTCGCGAGGCAAATTTTTCAAATCATTATATCCTAATCGCCCCCAACATGATGACTTATCGGTTGAAAATAATACGCAGTACCAACAAAATATCTTATTCCTTACCTCAGATTCCGTCAACCAGATATATTTTTTATAATTAACAGAATTGAACGAACGATTTTGTTTGTTACCTGTTACAATCAGATTTTTTAATTCCGGTGTCGGACGTTTGTTTCTCGCAATCAATTTATCTTCATAAGACAAAGCACTGAATGGGTTCACCAAAAAGTATTCCACTAAATCGCAATCGTTTAAAACACTCATTTTTCAGAAATTTATAGAGCCCCTAACCATTAACCTAACATAAACAATGCACTCGCGTTTGTCCGCAATTCGCGAAGCGACACGACAAACACGTGCTATTCGGGCGTATTCGGGCATTTGCATTGCGCGCGTAGGTTGCGCGATGTGACGGAGTCTAGCCTCCTATAGATGTTGCCAAGTTGAATATTTTACGCGTGATTTGCAGACTTCAACGTGTGATGCGTGGGCAACTACTGTTGCCAATTCAAAAATATTAACTAAAAACAGGAAATAACATCAAAATCCATGTATTTTGGTGTCCTTTCAATGAGAAAGTATAGATAATATTAGTTTAAGGAAAATCTCTGAGGAGGCTCAGCCTCCGTTGCCTCCTCTGAGGAGCCGCCACTGATGGATATAGAATATTGACTCAATTTTACTTAATTCTAGACAAGCCATGAATAATTTTGAAAAGTGTGTGAAACCCGGAGGTCTCCTGTTGATCGACCATAGAAATTACGATAATATAATCAGTTCAGGCGAAACGGCATCTAAATGCTTGTATTACAATGTGAGTATTCAACTCTTTGATCACATCATCATTCTCATTTTTGTACGAAAAATACCGAGATATATGACTACCAGAACAATTATAGAAATTAGACCAATCTGCACTACTGATAGGATTTTTTTTTTTCAGAGTAATCACACTGTGGATATCAAGACTTCAGTGCTGTTTATCGGAAGAGAACCAGCATTGGTCACTTTAGATTATCTGATAGATGCTTCATCAGCAATTAAAAATTCATACACTAATGGAAACGAGAACTCATTGAGGTATAGATTTTCATTTTTCACATACACTCACCGTAAAAAAAAACCGGCCACCAAATAATTTAGCCAAATTGTTTGCTCTGTAACTTTTTCAATTCTGGTCCGATTTTGGTGAAATTCCGACCAAATCGTAGATTCATGTTTCCAAATGGTAGCCTGAGTATTAGTTCCTAAGAAAATCTGATGACTCGATCATTATACAGGGAAAAACAAAAGTTACTTTTTCACCCTTAACCTCTTAACGCCCTGTGGGAAAGATGAGTGGATTAACTTAGCTTCATTATGTTTTAGATTGAAGAGTGATCTCTTCTCCACATTATGGTTTTTTATTCACGTCGATAACCATTTTTTAAAGGAAGATACAAGTGATAACAAAAACAAAATGGCGGATTCTACCAAAGTATTGTCATTTACAAAAACCGCTGGAGAAAAAGAAAATCAGATTTTTTCCAACCTGTACCGATGTCATCTTAGGCTATTCATTTCTGAAGAGAATGAGTACTCGAACATCAGAATCGAACAAATAGTCCAGTAGATACACTCATTTCCTTGCAATTTGTTATGGAGTAAATGTGCTTATCTCGTATAAACGATTATTATTATTTTGCTTCAGGCTTCATGAAAATTCAATCGAATTTGGATTTCTAAGAGTTATTTCTAAGATAAAGAACTGTAGTACATAATGGAACATTTGAAAATCCAATAATTGAAAGAAACAAAATGGTGGAGAATCCAGAATTTTTGTGATTTCCAAAAATCTCTGGCGAATAAAAAAATGTTTATTCTTCCAATCAGGACCGATACAATTTTAGATCATTGATTTCTAAAAAGAATGAGCACTCGAACATCTGAATCGAACAATTAGTCCAGGAGAAACACGTTCTTTTTGGCAAAGTGGTATGGAATGAATGTACCAATCCCGTGATATGAATTACTTTTAGTTTGCTTCTGGCTTTATCAGAATTCGATCGAATTTGGATTTCACTCCATAACACTTTGCCAAATAGATCTATAGAACTAATTGTTCGATTCAGATGTTCGAGTGCTCATCCTTTTCAAAAATCAATGATCTAAAATTGTAACGGTCCTGATTGGAAGAATAAACATTTTTTTATTCGCCAGAGATTTTTGAACAAAAATTCTGGATTCTCCACTATTTTGTTTCTTTCAATTATTGGATTTTCAAATGTTCCATTATGTATTACAGTTCTTTTTCTTTGAAATAACTCTAAGATATCCAAATTCAATTGAATTTTCATGAAGCCTGAATCAAAATAATAATAATCGTTTATACGAGATTAGCACATTCTCTCCATAACAAATTGCAAAGAAATGAGTGTATCTACTGGACTATTCGTTCGATTTTGATGTTCGAGTACTCATTCTCTTCAGAAATGAATAGCCTAATATGACATCGGTACAGGTTAGAAAAAATCTGATTTTCTTTTTCTCCATCGGTTCTTGTAAATGACAATACTTTGGTGGAATCCGCCATTTTGTGATTGTTCATTATTAAATTTTCAAATATTCCACTGTATACTATAGCCCTTTAGCCATGAAACGACGCCAAGAAATTCGAATTCGGTTGAGAAATGATGAAACCACGAGGAAAATAAAAACTTCCGGTTTTTTGTGACCACCCGATACATATAGCGTTCTTGAAATATTCAATTGGATTTTGAAATGTATTTCACTAGAAATTACGATATTGATCCTTGAACGGAAGGCGCGTTGCACACGGACGATGGACAAATAATAGGTGTGCACACTAAAACATGTTCACTGAATCCGCGTAGAACATAAACTTTTCATACTCCTGTTCTGTATATATTTTTCAATATTCATTTTTATTTTCAGTGAATTTCGTTTGTCATACTATCCCCACCGTTTGGAGGTATTCAAATCCATGTTGAGAGATGCTTTTGGTGGAGCATCCGAATACAAGATTTATGGCGATTTCAAGACACTAGAAGAAGCTCCAGTTCCAGACTTCTATATACACGTAGTGCAAAAATCTATGCAGGCCTAATACTAATGATAAATGAATAGTAAATTCGTTTTTTTTTCTCAATATTATAGAATTAAGGTCAAAATATTATAAAGCTTGAGGACCATGAAAAATAATGGCGATTGTATTTGATGGAAGAAATTAAAATTTATTAGATAAATTCTAGACACATTTTAAGAATGTTGTTGACATAAAAATGATTGATTTTAAAAATAACAAGAATCGTTGGAATGTGAGTTTTTAATGAAGATGTCATGGTCGAATTCATATTTTTGTTTAAACAATGAGAAACAAATTCGTTATTTGGTATATTAATCCATCACAATGATATACATTTGTTTTATGTGCCTTATCACCAAATTATTATCCAGACATGCATCTAACTAAAATATAAAGCTTTATAATTTCACAGATACCTACATTAAAATTATCCTTAATTCACTAATATTTCCTTTATGCAAAAAAGGTGTGGTATAATTTATTGAAGCTTGCTCCTATTATCGATCTAAACAAATCCATTCATATTGGTAAAAATGCTATTGGCATTGCACTGATTCATATCTAATATGACAACATTGTGGGGTGTCAAGTGATTTTCTAAGAATTCTAGGAACTCCAAGAACAAAAGGAACATCTTTCTCATGCAATATTAATATCAAAGGACATCATTTCAGGATTGCTTGGTTCTAAAAAAAATGTCTAGGAATAGAACTGATTGAAATGGCAGTGGACAGCAAAATAAACAATTGTAAAATCACTAAAGCATTATGTATGCAATGCCCTTTCTGTGCATTTTCACGTGAACATAGATCTTCCAAACCATAACATTTCTTTCAGCTACTTTTGCTAAGGCTTGTGTGAAGCAGTATCACACAAAATATTCAATAATTTGGCGTTATAATTGACCAACATGTCACAAACTTATCAAGTTGTACAACATAAATTTCAATCAAATAACACAATAACGGTATGGTGGAATTTTTTTTCATCAGTTGCAACAAAAAAATTCAGTTCTAGTCACCTGGAATACCTGGATATACAGGTCAACTCACTCAAAAACTATGATCTACCTAACAGCCAGGTCAAGGTTGGCAAAACTGATGAATATCAGATTAATTGAAGGGCGATTTGGCAACATTCTGTCATTTGTCATCAATGTCAGCTGTCATGTCATTAATTGTGAAATGTAAATTTCCTTATTCGCGATAGAAAATAAGCGTACGCCACCTATCGGAGTTTTATAAAGCTGCCAAAGCGGCATGTTTACTTTGTTTTCATTGGTTCACTTTTGTTTTTCGTTTGTGCTTATTGGTTATATCATCAAAACAAACCGCTTATAAGTGTTCAAGTTGCTGCCATCAGGTGGGACGACGTGCTATTTTCTATCGCGAATATCCTGTTCACTTTATTCGCGGGAATCAATGTTACCAGGTGGCGCTCGGTTTTCATCGTTCCATGTCAAAGCCACGTCAAAACTGGGGGAAAACAAACTCAATCCTCACTCAATCCCATTAGTGCTATCAACTTGTGTACTGATAAGAGTGATGTTTTCAAATTTCTTGACATTCGTTTTCAAATTTCTTGACATTCGTTGTCAATATTCGATCCAAATCGCTAATAATGCCTGTTGTAGATGTTCTTTTGGCAGATATTTTGCTCTATTTAGATCGAAAAAGCCGACCAGTAGTGGAAGGAGAGGTAGTTCTCCGTGCTAATCATGTGATATTGTGTGAGGCAGAAGACTTCAACAGAAGGCACATTTTTGCACCTTGTCTACAAACTTCGGCGATGAAATCTTTCCCACATGAAGTAAAATTGAAGTTGGGGTCCAGAGGAACTCCTGTAGAACAATGGATTTGTATTTGTTTCTGCGAAGCAGGACAATCTGGGTATTGTTGGGCTAGCTTTGGATCTTTTGGAAAAAAATGCATAGACACACTTTCCGAAATATAATTATTGCACTGAGCAGTACTTTGTAATGACGTTTCCAAATAAAACGACAAACTTCATGACCTTGCTAGATGGCTCCGAATAATTTCAATATCATAATTCTAGTAGAAATCAAGAAAATGAATCATATTTGGAACAGTGGTTGCGGTGATTGAAGATAGTTATCCGCGATCGAGAGAACTCATTTTATCTGGGAATGAAGACGTGGAACCTGTCCTACCTACTTGAAGAAATCATAAACTTTTGATGTGTATTTCTAGCATTTCATTGAAATTTCAATTTGTATTTTTTTACAACTGTTGAGTCATTACAGGTCATTCCTTGTAGTGAGACGGAATGAAAAGTAGAGACTGGAATCGGATAAATAAAACGCAACTAATGATAGTTGACACTGATGACATTAATCTAAAGACAGACCGTTGCCAACCTAAGAATGTTCAAAAAGATGCAACTATTTGTTGACATTAAATACAATCAGATTGAGTCAGTTGTTGTGGAACATGTTGCTTTGTGACGATGTCAGTTGCAGTTTAAAAAACGAAGGGTCAACGAAGTTCTTCATAGTCTATCTAGTCAACCTTTAATGTGTGAATCTAATATAATTAGAATAATTTTTGAGTGGCGCCGACTTACATTATTGTAGCCAAGGTATGAATAAGAAATTTATCACCCTTAAAGATATTGCCGACACGAACAACAACTGACATGTTGCCCAGTTGTCAGCAGACCGAGAGAGGCTGATGAGACCTGGTGGGTCGAAACAGTACTGTATCGCTCCTGCTGACAATTGGGGCAACTATGTTCATCCTAGATCTCTTAGTTATGAGATCTAGCAGTCCGATAGTGATGACAGTTCACATTGATTTCATCTATTACATTGGTCCTTCGAACCGGATCTCAATGTAATAGATTGAACTTCAAAATTTCTTCACTAACTTTCAAAAAGTGACAGATTCCACTGAAACTCAAATTATTATTATTCCTTGGAAACATTCAACAAAAGTATACAATGTATATAAAATATCAAGTTTGCCTGTAACATTGCAAATGAATACTATCAAACTGAGTGTCACTTGTTAAATGTGTTGCTTTTAGTCGATGTCAGTTATAGTTAGTTTGAAGATATTGCCAACAGAAAAACTGCTGATGCTAGATTAGTGAAAAAAACCGCATACTGCATGACAGATTGAATAGAACTTGTACCTACCACTGGAATTATCGATACTTGCTGTTGAAAACCTGATTATCATCGACATAAAATTAAACTATCCCATTACCTAATGATTTGAAGGAAAGAGAGCTATCGGATTCAATCAATATGTATTTATCTAAGTTTACAGTTCAAAGTTCATTGAACAAGCATCAACAAAATGCCTCGGCCACCATAGAATCCGCAGAAAATCACCATCGACAAAAACCGCCCTAGCCAGCCGACAATTCGAAAAGAGGAATGCTGAAAAATATCTCTACATGCTTACACCCATCTGCTTCAATCCCCCACAATCTCCCTCCCTCGCTCAATTCTCTTATTGTTCCTCGTCTCCGAGTTCGTGTTTGATTTTCGAAAAGTCGAACTCCTCCCCAGTGCCCCTCTTGAAGATGTCCAGCACGTCCAAGCAGGTCGTCTCGAAGTGCGTGGTCGCATCGTAAGACTGCGACACGAAGATCTGCGATTGAACGCCGTCCTCGTTCGGCTCGAAGTAATCGGACACGGAGACGAACTTCTGTCGAATGGTGCCGAGCAGGTCGAGACCGGGCTTGATCTCGGCCTCGGGATTGTCGGTCTCCACGGTCGTGGACACCATGGCGATGAACCACCCTGAAGAAACGAAAGAAAAATATCATGAGTAACCAACCAACGTAGGTGATCCATAACGTACAGTTTTTTTTTTATGTTCTGGTTCCCACGAAAAGGGATATCCTGTAATGTTCAGAGAACATCGTGAGAACCAAGGGAAATAAGGTAGGAATTGGTGTTCTTCTTCAAATTTCTGGAGGTTATATGCCTCGGGGAACACCTCCCTTGACAATGTATTCCAGAGCCTCGCTGTTCGTTGGATGAACAAGTCTTTGAAAAGAGATGTTCTGCAGGTCTCCAAAGTGACCACGAAGGGGTGCGAAGCCTCCACTCGTCGGGTTAATCTCGCGGGGACTGCCAAGGGAGGCACAATTGTTGATATTTCAGAAGAGCATCGTCTATGAAAATATCTATTAAATAGAGCCAGATCGCCAACTTTTCTACGGTGTTCCAGAGAAGTGAGTGAGTTTGTGAGCGAGGCATCACCCAGGAGACGAATTGCCCTTTTGTGGACAGAATCTAACAGTTTCAGTGTATATGGGAAGTAAATATGGGAAAAGTATTCCAGAACAGGTCGGATCTGTGCCTTATAGATCATAAGCAGCTGACTGGAAGTGAAATAGCTCCTGGCCCGAAACAGAAAACCAAGTTTTTAGGATGCACTTTTAGCAATTGATCTCACGTGATTTTCCCAAGGAAGGTTATTGCTGATAGTAATACCAAGCATCGAAATGGATGTCTTCAATGGTATGGTTACTCCTGACAAGCTTATGTTGGGCACAGTGAGATCGGCTCTTCTAGAGAAAAGGCATGCTTGTGTTTTGTTTGCATTGAAATCTACCAAGTTATTGGATCCCCATTCGAGAATTGTTGCTAAGTCCATATTTATGTTGTCAACATTTCTCCCTCGTTCGTTTCTGATAGTGAAGGTGATATAAATCAGGAAGGAAATAAAGAAGACAAATGGGACATGTTTTGAAGGATTAATCCTTCATCATCAGCAACATATAAGGCCTGTTTGTTAGTGTTTGCTCTACCTGCTGAACTTGATTTTTTTCTATAACTTTCTCTGTATATAAACATGTACTATTTTGGTAGGTAAATTAAGACATTTTCACACAGAACTAACATAAGCATTTTTTTCTTGTTACAGATCTTTTTCAACTAAATGTTGCTGATGATGAAGGATTAATCCTTTGTACATGACCGTTTGTCAATATTGAATTGTTTTATGTGGTGGAGTTCTGACTCTAAATGGACTGTAAATTCCTTCACACTTCCTGACTAATATCAGAAGTACCTACATAGTGTTCAAAAATCTGTTGATGGTTGATGAGAAGTTTCCTTCAGATGAATTTCCATAAAATAAGTTTGGAACTCTTCAGTTTTGTGTCGACGCTGTACAGAATGGCGATCGATAAAGTGCGAGTCGTTTTTATTTTCAAAATAAATCAATTTCTAATTTTCGGTGCGGCAAACTGTGACGTACATAACTGAAGAATGAAAAACTAATGCAACAACACGAGTAAAACTGGTATAGAAAACCATACATAACTACCAAATCAGATCAGTGAGAAGTAGTGAGAAGATTTGTCAACAAATAATTCAGGTTGTGTTGAGTAGCTCATTTGATACAGGAAATAGATGACGCCAGATGCCGTCCCTTTGAAATTTCATTACAGGGCGATTTTGGCGATTTTCGCTGAATGAACAGTCATGTATAACCCGTCAGACCGTCTAGATATTTAGCCGTCATTGGTCTCACCTTTAGCAGCCACCTGATGAGTATAGCTGACCAGCGACACGTAGATGTCCGAGCTGCGGCCGACCTGCTTCTGCGGAATGATGATCTGTGTGGACAGCGCGTCCTTCGTATTGGCCACCGGATGGTCGAGCAGACACACGCACCGTACCACTTTCGCCGTTTTGCGCACCTTGAACAAGAATATTCGCGAGATTCACGAAGTGGGCGACATCTAGGTTACATAATACGAACTTCAAACTGGGGGAAAACAAACTGTTGTCTATGGATAAAGTGCATAGACTCAAGGTTGGTAGAAATGATGACTACGAACTTCAAACTGGGGGAAAACAAACTGTTGTCTGGATAAAGTGCATTGACTTTGCATAGACTACAAGACGATGGGATGTCAGATTATTACGCCATCCTACTGTCATTAAATGTTGAAAATCGAGTAATGTATGAATGACTCCATAGTTGTACAGGGTGCGGCAGAGAGGATGGACGGTTTTAAAGAACGAAGGATGGTGTTTCGAGAGGGAACAGCTCTATTCCGATGAATGTTGAAGTGGCGACGGATCTCACGCTGTACGACGGTGACTGACTCATTATTTCGGACGAAACAATCATAGGCGAAAACGCGGTGCTCCACCGTCCAAGGCTCCATGACGACAACTGGTAAAACAATGCTAGGAACTCACGAGTCAAACACTAGAGTCTCGAGATCATACCCGTGTGTTCACCGAACACGCCCGATCGTTACCTAAGCGGAGGGGAGACGTAAGCAGGCAGCTTCTCTCGTTATGAATATTGGCGCGTGCCAGAATTATCTTGGAGTCAAATTTGTCAATCTAATGGAAACACTCTTGTATTTCACGTAATTGTTGAGTTATTAGGATTCTGAAATTCACAAGAGCCATAGGTATAGGACATCTTCAGTGATATATACACTGCTCATTGATTTTGTATCTTTCTTGCTGCTGTGAATAGAATACTTATGTAAGATACGGGGGTGCTTTCATGTAAATTGAAACAAAATTTGATTCTTCAGAACTGAACATTTCTCAGCGAGTTTCTCAGGAACAATATGAATAGTCAATGAATTGGACGTCCTGATTTCGAATCCGAAGTGATTTTCAACCTATCTTGCCTCCTAATATCATTTTCCGTTTCCGGAAATGTTGGTGGGTCCATGATCCGAGCAGTGTATTTCACTGAATATTACCTCACTTTGGTCATAGTTGATATATATATCTATCGCTCCTGAAAATTGAACAGTTACGTTAGATATACGGGTTGATTCCATTAGAAAGTGACATGCACACTGTTTATATTTTTAAATACATCCAGTGGGACTGAATTTTATTTTATGTTGAATATTAGAGTGTGTTTTTTTATGTGATATATTTGTTTTGTTTATTTCAAATATATATATTTTTTTAGTAGGCATACTAGTACTTCTTTTATATAATTCTGAAATCTGATCCACCCTGTATTTGTTTCAATTAAATGGCATCAGTAGATAGTAAATAAAATGTTAGGATAGGGATACACATGTAAGCCATTTTGACAAATCAATATAGGTATTGTATAGTTTCGATACAAGAAAAATCTTGATTTTTCACATTCTACGTATAGGTATACCTTGAGCTTGATCAACGAAATCATAGCTCAATTAGAAGAATCGAAAAATGTAATAAAATATAAGGTGTTCCATTTTGAATAACAAAGCTGCTACTATACTACTACTACTATACTAACTACTAATAATAATTTCTAGTGAAGCAGATGAACATTATCGAAAATAATTTGAATAAAACGAACGTCCTCGCCAACAAAACATAAGCATATAATATGTACATATAGTTTCATGATTTTCGATGAGTGGTTCGCTATTTACATGTAGGACTCGTCGTGACATAGCGAATTATTGCAAATCAAATCATCGCTTTCATTATCTGATAGGTCGCAGTAGATCACTTGATGCCTATCAAATGTTTCTTATTTATTCGAAAAAATTTTTTTTTTGAAATGTGATCAAGAAAACTGTTGGTGGCCCACACCGTACTACAAAAACAGAGACAGCATGAGAGAAGCTGCCTGCCCACTCATTGTATCATGGCTGCATGCAGCCTGCAGCTGCCTGCTTACGTCTCGGTCTCCCCACCGCTTAGGTAACGATCGGGCGTGTTCGGTGAACACACGGGTATGATCTCGAGACTCTTGTGAGTCAAACGGAACCCTCCCCACCTCTCTCGAAGACGGAGGGGGAGAGTACTACCCATCTCAAAAACGTCCGTCCTCTCTGCCGCACCTGTAGAATAATAAATGTTTACCTTGTCGGGCACGTAGGTCGGGTCGCAGTAGACCTGCTTGCACTTGGCCATCTCGTCGCCGGAGCGGACGCCCACCACTCGCCCGCCCTCGCCCAAAACGATCTCGTCGATGGGCTTGTCCAGCATGTAGGTGCCGCCGTAGATGGCCGACAATCGGGCGAAACCTGAAAAAGGACCAGTACTCTCACTCAATAGGCCTTTTCGGAAACCTACTCTGGTTGACCCGATCCTCAATCTGCACGTTCGTTTACCAAACTCGAGTTGCATACCAGTGTTCGATCACTAACTCAGGTTTTTCTATGATAACCATAAACATATAGAAAGAGGGGAGATGAAATGGTTTACATATTGTCCCGATCCAACACCGTTCTGCCGCCTCTGTTTGAAAACGAGGGTAGCATTAATCATACATTGATTATATAATATACATTTTTCATGTATATTTTTTATCAATTGAAATGTATGAATTGTGCTATTGAAATAATTTAAATTTTGCTAATTTCATCATTACATAAAATTATAATGTATTATGGAAATGAGTGTGGCAACGCTGTATTGGCGTGTTTACTACGAGTTACGCATATTTTTCTTGTAGTCATTCATGTATGTCGATATATGACGTAACAGTGTTGTTGTGTTGTGTTTGTTACCATTTTAGAACTTTTTGTGTTTCGATTGAATTTCAGTGTTTTCTTGTTATATAAAACTATGCAAGACGTTACTTATAGTCTTCTTAAAGTCATTCACATATGTCAAAATCTGACATTATTATTGTTTCTTGCCATTTTAGACCGTTTTGTGTTTCAATTGAATTTCAGTGTTTTCTTGTTACAAAACTATGCAAAGACAATTATTTAAAGTCTTTTATGGCTCGTCAGTGCGTGGATTATAAAAAAGTTCACCATTTGAACCGCAAATTGGTATTTTGATGGTAAGTAAGGCTATATGTTTCTTCTAGTTATCGCAGATTATTCAACTAAATTATTGCTAGAAACCTTGCCTTTTTTCGTTGAAATTCCATTGAATGATGGATCAAAATTAGGTAAGTGCCTTGGGTACTTACTACGAATATTTGGTATAGAAATTAAAAAATTAGACCCAAACATGTTTGAATAGGTATAATAGCGTTGTCATCGTAGTAAAATGGTCTGGATCTCGCTTAACCTACGTGACTAGAAAAGAAAAATGTGAACATTGGGGTCCATACTGTATATATTTTCAACAAAGAAATGAGGCCACTCAGACAAAAGCTCCTGAGAAATCAAAGAGTTATGCAGCAACTTATGCCCACACGTTGGGCGCCAAGTTGCGGCGAAAGTAATTATTAGCTTTGTATCACCTGATAGATCAGGCACATGCTACTCAAATAAAGTTATTTCAGCGCAGTTGGAAAACCCAAAATTGTGTTCATCAGACACTTTACTTGACATAAGAGGAATCAATGATATTAGGTGACAACATACACAATGATCAAAATTCTCTAGAACCATGAACGAAAATTTCGTAAAATACATGAACCGTATTTTTTAACGCTCTTAACTAAAACTGGCCTTGAAAACAAAAGCAGATTCGTTCCCGGAGTCAAAAAATGAGAGAAAAATTGAAATTTTTCTTTAAACCTATATTTCTCTTCTCTAAACTTTTTCAAAATTTTATAGAAACCAGGAAAAAATTCCGAAAAATTCTGGAATCCCTACTAGGTAATATTATGAATGTGTTTGTTCTTAAGGCTTTCACGCCAAAACTACTCAACCTATCATCATGAAATTTTGTATGTCGGCGTCAATTAGTGAAATCCGTCATTCCCTGAAATGTCTAGTATATTTCACGTATTGAAACTGAATGAATAAGCTCACTTTGCGGCAATTCGCCCATTTTGTACATGGGATACGAAGAAATGAATGAAGGAATAAAACAATTAATAAACCGAGAAATGAATAAACTCACCTTGCGGCAATTCACCCATTCTGTACATTGGATACGAATAAATGAATGAACGAATAAATTAATGGATAAATGAACCAATAAACCAATAAATGAACTAATAAACCAATTAATGAACCTAGAAAATAAATAAACTCACCTTGCGGCAATACGCCCATTCTGTACATTGGTTATGAATAAATGAATGAACGAATAAATGAATGAATAAATAAATCAATATATGATTGAATGAGTGAATAAATGAATGGATAAATGAACCAATAAACCAATAAATTGTTGTTCTAAAAACTGTTCTAATATTTTTCTATCCGTCATTCGGTTGACCCTTACTAGCAACCTTCAGAAGTCTTCCAGAGTCTTGTGCGAGCAAGGAATGACGGGGGCCTTACCTTTCAACGTGTGATCCCAAACATTTTCTTGGGCCATCAGAAAATTGTCTGTACTCGCTGGGAATTGAACCCACGACCGGCAAGCGAATGCGGATTAGAATATTGACATTCTATCCGCACGGCTACCTGGCCCCTTCAAATAAATGAACCAATGAACCAATTAATGAACTTAGAAATGAATAAACTCACTGTTCATGGGATATGAATAAATGAATGAATAAATAAACCAATTAATGAACTAATTAAAGAACCGATAAATGAATAAACTAACCTTGCGGCAATTCGCCCAACCCGTACATGGGATACAAGTAGGGCGACTTGCCGTATCTGGCCAAGGAGTCCGAGTACAGCTTGATGCGGTCGATCGTCTCGATGGCGCTCCTGTTCAGATAGTCGTCGTCCCTGTGCAGCGCTAGAGCGTGGCCGGTGAAGTCCTGCGTGTTCCTATCGAGGCCGAACTTGTCGTACAGCGCCTGCATGTTCTGCGTGTTGGGGTCGAAGTCCTTCCAGCTCTTGGGGTCCTGCTGGTTGAAGTCCTGCACGTAGATGAGGAAGTTGCGGAAGCGGCGCTTCTCGAACATGCCCATCAGGTCGGAGGCGAGGGCTTCTTTCTGGTCGACCGGTACCTGAGGGCAGGATTGGAATAGGTCATGAAGGAGTCAGAAAAGTCAGTCTTTTTGAATTGATGGAATAAGTCATGAAAAAGTGAAAAAAGTTTGACTTTATGAAATAATTCGGACCTTTTTTTTTATTAATTCACTTGGAACAATAGTTATTTGTTTTACTAGACAGAAAAGTACAAGATTTGATGCCGCAGCTGGCGTTTCATAGCCAAGGCGTAGCCGAGGCTAGGAAACCAGCCAAGGCATTACATCTTTTTTCAACCATGTGAAATGAATAATTTTTTCTCCAAATTTGTTTCAGTTTCACGCTAAGTCCGAATAATCCATCAATTTTGATTACCAATTTGATTCAAATTACTTGGAACGTTGCATAGCAACAATTTTTTTCTGCCTAGGCAGTAAAAGTACACCTTTTCTGCCTGTGGAGTGTTATTAAAAAGTCACTTTTGATGTCATTTAGAGAAAAATCAAATTCAACTCCTTTCTGGATAAATAAATACAAAAAGCTCAAAGTCATTTCATAGAATGAACTACAATGATAGATTTCGGGAGAAAAACAACTACTTTCCTGGCTAATTTTGTGTGATTCTTTCCTGAATGTCTATAGATTTCGATTTAGCCAGGCCACGCTCTGAAAGGAATCCGCTTGCATTCTTCTGAACGGAGACAATAGCATTGCTTCCTGTTCAGTTGATATAGTTAGAACATGGTATTCACTACTGAGGGCTGAACATGAAAATGGTGGATTCAAGATCAATTAATGAAAAGATCCTGTAACTCATTTGTAGAATAAAATCCCTCATTCATATGCCAACATCAGTATGACACTGAAAACTGTCAAACTATAAGCAGCACAACTTCCAAAGAGAAATATTTTGCATTTTCATGTTGAGAACGGGAGCAGATTCGGTCCCGAAACGTCCAAAGATAAGTAAAGATTCGATATTTCTTCAATATATCTATATTTCTTTCCTTCAAACATTTTCTCATTTTAGGCTCCCTGATAGAAAAATTTGTTAAAAGCAGTGATATTTTGGGGCAAATCATCTGATTTGTCCCACTACAAATATATTGAACTAATACGCATATTTTTATTTTATAGAAACGAGGAGAGAAAATCACAAAAAATCAAGTGCAATGAATATACCACCTCCTCGATTAACCTACAGACAGTATTCAATAATATTAGTTGGGACGATTCCTTGATCCAGAATTACCCAAATTTTGTGAAACAGATATATAAAAACAGGAGATTTTTAAAATTTATTTCATTTTTGATTTTTTATTCTTTCTCACTTGTCATTTGAGAAAATGAACTTTTGACCACTTGTATGAACAACGGATATAATAATTTCAGCACGCCCTGTATGATATGGAGGCGACTTCTCCGTGTAAATTGAATACATCAAGCCTGTCCGAGAGCCCTGATTTACATAATTTTTTATCTCGAAAACCGATAGAGATAGGTATAGGGATTTATTAACAAAAGAGTATTGTAATAAAAAGGCAATTCTAAAAATGTGTTAATATACGGGGTGTTCCATACAAAAAAATGAAGTTGCTAGGACTTTTTGATCGAAACGGCAACGTCGCAATTTCGAAAATATTTTAGATCGATAAAACAGGTGATACAATGTGAGATGCGAAATTTTCAGAAAAATCCTGCGTTGCGTTCTTCATAAACGTCTAACGTACCATCGACCGTGAGTTACCCTGTATAATTAACTCATGTGAAGTTGGCGCCGTTTTCTTCGAAAAACTCAATTTTTTTTTTAGTTCCGAGTAGATTTGATAGAGTTCTAGAGTTCATGACTGAAATTTTGGATAGTTCCAGCAAATCGTAGGTGTCATTGGAAAAAATAAATTTTGAGCGCTAACTTCACGCAGCGCCGTTTTTTTTTCGAGAAAATGAGTTCTGATATATTTTGTTGTTGTATTATAAAGAGTTCTGGAGTTCTAAACTTATTTCATCAATAGTTCTGGTGAAGTAAGGAAATTATCGAATAATTTAAGGAAATTAAATACGAAAATGTGTTTCTATAGCCAGCATTTCTTGGTGAAATACTATTCCGTTCTGTTTCGTATTGAAGAAAAAGCTATCGAGGAAAAAGGAGGAGGATCATTAGGAAATGTGAAATCTGAAAAAAACGAAGAAAAAAATCAGCTGTCATAAGGTGAAAAATTTATTCCAAAGAACAGGGCAGTTCTGATAAGAGTTCTGAGTAGCGCTCGACGAGTTCTTCAAAATATTCTTATTCTGTTTTAGTGACCAATCGATACTTCTTCATTCATCAGCTGTCATAAGGTGCTGACCTCAAAAAAACTAGCATTTTCGATAAAAAATTCATTCCGTAAAACAGAACATTTCTGATGGGAGTTCTGAGTAGCGCTCGACGAGTTCTTCGAATTATTCTAATTGTGTTTCAGAGACAAATTGATACTTTTTCATTTATCAGCTGTCATAAGGTGCATATCTTAAAAAACTAACATTTTCGATAAAAAATTGGTACTCAAGAACAGAATAGTTCTGATGGGAGATCTAAGAAGTGCTCGACGAGTTCTTCAAAATATTCAAATGGTGTTTTAGTGACAATTCGATACTTTTTCTTTCATCAGCTGTCATTAGGTGCATATCTTAAAAAACTAACATTTTCCAAGTATCGGAATCGGAAGTATCGATTTGACACCAAAACACCAAGATAATATTTTGAAGGACTCGTCGAGCGCTACTCAGAACTCCCATCAGAAATGTTCTGTTTTACGGAATGAATTTTTTATCGAAAATGCTAGTTTTTTTGAGGTCAGCACCTTATGACAGCTGATGAATGAAGTGTGGTCGACCGACTTTGAGCCCCTAGTTTTTTTCTTCTTGAATGAAGAAGTATCGATTGGTCACTGAAACAGAATAAGAATATTTTGAAGAACTCGTCGAGCGCTACTCAGAACTCCCATCAGGAATATTCTGTTCCTGAGTACTGATTTTTTATCGAAAATGTTAGTTTTTTAAGATGTGCACCTTATTACAGCTGATTAAAGAAAAAGTATCGATTTGTCACTAAAACACCATCTGAATATTTTGAAGAACTCGTCGAGCGCTACTCAGAACTCTTATCAGAACTGCCCTGTTCTTTGGAATACATTTTTCACCTTATGACAGCTGATTTTTTTCTTCGTTTTTTTCAGATTTCACATTTCCTAATGATCCTCCTCCTTTTTCCTCGATAGCTTTTTCTTCAATACGAAACAGAACGGAATAGTATTTCACCAAGAAATGCTGGCTATAGAAACACATTTTCGTATTTAATTTCCTTAAATTATTCGATAATTTCCTTACTTCACCAGAACTATTGATGAAATAGGTGTAGAACTCCAGAACTCTTTATAATACAACAACAAAATATATCAGAACTCATTTTCTCGAAAAAAAACGGCGCTGCGTGAAGTTAGCGCTCAAAATTTATTTTTTCCAATGACACCTACGATTTGCTGGAACTATCCAAAATTTCAGTCAGGAACTCTAGAACTCTATCAAATCTACTCAGAACTAAAAAAAAAAATTGAGTTTTTCGAAAAAAAAACGGCGCCAACTTCACATGAGTGTATAATTACTTAGCTCTGTGCGGCCAGTTCGTGAAATGCCACCCTACACGGTTAAACCTCCTCCACCAAACGCCACCGTTGCCTCCATATTCTCTTCTTGGAACCTACTACCCTTTTCTAACCTAACTAAATTTCGACCATCTGACCTATAAAGATTGAATCTGCATTCGTCCGTTAACAGGCAGTTTGACCAATCTTCCATTTCCCTATGCCGATGCAGAAAGTGCAAAATGAAAGACATTCTGAATGATAACTGACAATTATTCTTAGTGACAATATGAAACAATTACACAATAATAGAAGATATGGGCGATAGAAACACACGCATCTGAGATCACGATGCCGCCGCGCCGCCGCCAAATTAAATAATACATTTCGCTTGTCAGTTTCAAAATTCGAAGTACCTACTCGTTCACTGCATTTATTTAACAGCATATATGATAAATACATGAAATCATCACGTATAACGAATCAAATTATATTCACACCACACCTTGAACCTAACAACAAATAAGAAATGTGAAAACTTCACAAACGATAAGATTTCCACAAAATTCTCAAACACACAAGTTTCGCTAACACAGTAGCTTCGTCAGGTGATATATACTGGTACAATGAACTAAACTAACGTTGGCTTGCTCAACTTTTATATATCTTACTTTCCCAACCTGAAGGATTAGTTACCTGTGGACAGGTACGATAAACCTCCATTTTCGGAAATTAGGCACAATATCTACATTAAATTACGGTATACCGGATTAACTTGAAAGAGTTGATAGCAAATACATATTATTACTTACTAATAAGAAAACAAATTCAACAGTGGTGAACTATTGAGGTCTAATTGATCATTAAGTAAAATGTCAAAAATTTTGATTTCTAATGATTCAAAATGATTGAGTTTCAGTCCTTTATTTTCTACGTGCAGCATTTAGAAATTATCATCAAAACTATGGTTTTCTTCTAATTATAATTAGAATGGATCCACATTTCTCAACGAAATCAAAAATGATATCGTCGCTTCCTATTGATTGTAAAATCGTTTTTTCGCAGCTCATCATGATGAAAGTCCTTGGCTCAGATAATTTCTTAGCCTAGTCAAGATAAATTTCAATTTTGAGAAAGATTTTTCACGCGAAACCTGCGATACTGAAAGGGTGAGTATAATTTTTTCTAAATATGGATAGATCTCGACATATAAATTGTATTTGTGCAAACCATGGAAGCAACAAAGTGAAAATGTTTTGCGAAATTTGTTTTTTTTTTTTCGAGATTTTTCCTATACCTGGCACTGGCGCGGTATTTGCTATTAGAGCACCTGGTCCATACACAAATATGTCAAATGTCACTCTGTGGTTTTATTTATATTGAAGCTACAATTCGAACATCCTTGGAAATCTAATGAACCCGAACCCGATCTGTTAATGCAGGTAGAGTAGAATATTCTCACCACACGGATTATTTGTTGTATTGCATACATATGGCACGGCATTGGTGGTGGCCACGCTCACTTTCGATCCTTATAAAATAATCTACTATTAAATTTCAGTTTCGTCGGCAACAAGCATGTTGCCTTATCTCTTTTTTTCTACCGCCCCTTCCTAAATTCGGCACTGAATAACGCGTAACCGTGAGATTATTTTCATATTTCATATTCAATGTCATTTTTACTGATGTCATTTTTAGGTTCGAAATTACTCCTCATATAAAGTGGCTGGAAATATAACATCAATAATTTATTTAGAAAGGAGTTGAATATGGTTTGATGATTAATCACCCTGTGCATCAATATTCGCTCAATATCAAAGAAATTGAAGTTATGAATTTCTTCCTGTATTGATTTTATGAATAAAGTCTCTAAATACATAAACAAATCAGCTGAAATTGAAGACACTTCAAGAAAACGTCAACTTTCCATAAAAAAAATGTTGCACTTCAATGAAGTATGCTAACGAAAAAATCTCGAAATCGTTGCGGTGAAACACATCAAGCAATCATGATGATTGGGAACTTTTGAAAATTTTTCGTTTTGTAATAGGTCAATGCTTCTCTCTGAAAACAAGAGTAAGCAAACCATCCCATTCTCAAACGATTTTTACACAACATGGAACAAACAAACCGTTCCAAAAATGGACTAGTATTTTTTATATTTGATTTCAAAATTGGGTGAAATATTCTTGTGGACCACTTGACACTTATGTCACCCAATTTAACGGACACACTGTATACAAACCATAGGTGTGATGTTGTTTTGAATCCAGCCTTCCATGAGGATTCCAAAAATTTTATATATACATACAGGGTGTTTCCTAATGATATGCTAATATTCAAGGGGGAGATTCTTGGACCCATTTCAAGAATAAAACTTCATATGAACGCTCCTATGTTATAAAATTCCTGAAATTTGAGATACAGGGAAACGAAGTTGAATATACCGGGTGTTTCTCAATACCCTTATAACTTTTTTGTTTCTACAGATAAACAAATGAAATTCGGTGTATAAGTATAGTTCATAATTATGCCATATTAGACGTATTCAATTGTTTTTTGTCACTCCCGGTTTGACCGGAAACGACCCTTATTTTCTTATTCTAAAGGGGGAATACTATTCACAATAGAAAATAAGCGTACGCCATCTAACGGAGTTTGAGAAAGCGGTCAAAGCGGCCCTATTATGACGTATTCAATTGTTTTTTGCCACTTCTGGTTCGACCGGAAATGACCCTTATTTTCTTATTCTAAAGGGGGAATACTATTCAGGATATTAAATGCCACCTATCGGAGTTTGCGAAAGCGGTCAAAGCGGCCTGTTTACTTTGTTTTCATTGGTTCACATTTGTTTTTTGTTTCTTCTTATTGGTCACATCATCATAACAAACCGCTCAGAAGTGTTCAAGCTGTTGCTGTGAGGTGGAGCTATGTGTTATTTTTCATCAGGAATGTCTTTAAATACTAATAAATTGATTGGTTGATTGAGAACCACTTCAATAAATTTCTCATTTTTTTAAATGCATACACCAACCAAAACTACTACCAAAGAATCTCTTCAAATGGGATGGGGATAGGTAAAAAACATACACCTCATAAACTCATAAACAGCTAACAAAATTTATATTATAACCATGTCTAATTCTACTGATTAATTTTAAATTCCTTGGGCCAATTGTCCATAAGGTATGGATAACAGTGAAATGTCTAGAGAGTGACTCACCATTAAACAGTTTTTTATTTAATAATTCATAAACAGTTATGGTTTGGTGGATATGCTATCATCACCTTCACAGTAGGTACCTATCTTTGATCAATTTGAAGATTTTTATTTATGTTATAGTGAGAATCAGTTCCCCAAGAAGAATTCCTTCAAAGATACTTTGAATTTACTCAAGTATTTTACAAAGACTTCAAGAAAAGAAGGATTGCATGAATTCTGTGAGGAATTGACTAAAGTATATTGAATAAAATGAGCTATTAAATTTTTACCTAAGCACAATATTATATTATTATATACCTAATGTATGAAACTTCCAATAGTGCAATAATAGTATACATAAGTCATACTGCTTGGATGTTTTCTTGACCATTTTCTTACCAATTCAATTATATCCTAAGAAAATTCGTGTACTCACCTTGGAAATTTTCCCTGCCTTGTAAACATAGCTACCCTCTACTGATTTGAATTCTAAATACCGTGTAACGCCGGTGTGTATGAGTAATTTGACCAGCGACCCGTTTGCCATGAGGAACTTCGGTATGAGGTCGACATTCCAGTCCCTTCCGCGCCCATAGGACTCGTCTGGGGGAGGCACCCCGAATTTCGAAAAGAGCTCTTCGAGGGGGCAGATCGAGGCAGACTCCCCACCGTAGTATTTGTTACGGTCGACATGTAACACCTTTTTGCCGGACACCGATAGCATTCCACTGATGATGCATTCTTTCAGGCCTGTGCCCAACACGATAGCGTCGTATTCTTCATCCATGGTGGTATTCTTGATCAATAATTAAATTCTAGAACGGTCACAAGAAGTACTGCCGGATGGTATTCGTGTACAATCAGAATGAAATGACGTATGGAAATGGGAAAATGTGAATGAATGGAATGACCTTTGTACATGACACATGACACGGAAACATTACCGAAATGAAAGTTTGACACGGAGCATGCTGAATGCAAATCTTTTTTCCACTGGACCTGTGCTTCCACGTTTTCTGTGAACTGATAGCACACCAGTGTGCACTCAGTGTGTATTTCTTCTCTTTTAATCACATCATAGGAACAAAGACAAAAATATATTCAGTGTCAAACAGGTTGAACCAATGGAAGTTGCAGATTTTTTTATTGATGTTTGATATTGACTTTTGACAAGTTTCGATTTCAAATTGAAGGTTGAAGTATTTCAAGTTTGATGTTTGATTTTCTGCTGATATGATGCATTTGTTGTTATTTTCAGTTGAAATTGTGGAATTATTGATGTATTTATGAATTCATTAGTTGTTTTCAACGCTATTTCTTATTGTCTTAAATATATATCTATGAACTATATCTCCTTGTCATTAGAGTGATTTTTAGTGCTTAAAAAATGGAATCGACCGAAGTGATTATAGCTAGGCTTGTGTTAGGTATTTTTGGCGGGAACAACAAAATATTTCTTTCGACCATTCTACCAAGCTTTTTCAGGATATTTAAAAGACGAGAGATGCAGATCCTCTTACAAAGAATTTTTGAAATCTTCTCACCACCTCCAAGATCACAAGATTCCCAGTACAAAATATATTCCTACCAGATTTCTTGGGCTCACACTGGGAGATATTTTAACAGAATATTTCGAGATATCTCAAATTGGTACTTATCTCAGTACTGATTATCTCGCTTGATTTTCATCTATTCATTATACATTTTCAGTACAGGGCAGATTGGAATCTACAAGTTATTATGATGAACATCATCCAAAAACTTCACTAATACAGCAAGTATTGTATTTGTTGAACCGAGTACAGTCTAGCAGAGCTTCTACACCATGTCCTAGGTAAGAATATAATATATCTTTGATCTGGAATCTGAAATCTGACTTATTGAATAGTTCTTGTAGATCTCCTATGGATTCACATACAGTAGAAAGTAGTCCTTCTCACAAGGAGCATACCAGTGATGTTGATACAACACCAGCTCACACTCTACCTGGTAATGTGCAGTATGAGAGTGAGGAATCAGTTGGCAATAAAACCCCCAAAAGAAATGGGAACAAATATACAAATTGTTTGGTTACAAGTTCACCCCAAACTGAACAAGATCAAATTCCAGAAGTTATTGACACTGAGGTATCTCTTCACATAGCTATTTACCAATATTTGTGAAAGAAGACTTTTGATGGTGTAAATCTATCAATTTTCATTTCTATTAACATTGATATATTCATGTGCTTAGAATTTGAATCAGTTCATTATGTTTTTTTTTTTTATTTTGAATCTGGTGCATTGTAAATCAATGTTTTCAGGAGTTAGCAAAAACCTTGTTGGAAAATACAGAATTGCATGAGAAAATTGCAAGAACCATCAATAAAGTTGCAGAAAAACAACAAAGGGTATCTGCAGAACTAGATAAAACTATAAAAACTGTGGTGAAAGAAACAGAAAGGGACCCAATTTTCGACAAAATCATTGATGAAATAATTGGTAAGTTCAGTGTCACCCATTCTCTATGTAGTCATGGTTTTTCAGTAATTGAAAACCAATGGTAAATATATTATTTCAGGTTCATCTTTTCTTATAGATAATAACAATAAAGGATTGGACACTTTGAGGTAACTTGATAATAGATACTATTTGAATGCTGTGGACAATTATTGTATCATTGATATACTTTCAGTATGACCAGTGATAGAGCAGAGAATATAGAGCACAAACAGAGGAAAGCTCAGAGGGATAGTGATCACCAAAATTCAGAGCTTCATGTCCCCACTGAAATACACTCTGTAGACCAGGGAAACAGAGGGGAACCCCAAACCACTTATGGCACTTCTGTTATGCAACAAACTGTTGTGCAACAAACTGTTGCTAGGCAAGACAACAATGAGGTGATAAAGGCAGTAATCTTGAATTGAAATTTTTGATTAATTGTTTTCTTAATCACAGTGGAATATTTTGCCATAATATGTATGTATACAGAGGGAGTCAAGAATGTGTACATTGAAAAATAAGTATATTTGATGAATAAACTAATGGCCCAAATTGTATAAAAGGGGAGATATATCCTCCCAAAGTTTATAAAATTGAAATAATTTTCCCACATAACTTCTAATGTATGTTGATAAAATACATTTTTCTGATACACTTCTACATTTTTTATATTGTTTTTAGAAGGCAGGTCATGACAGACAGCTTATTTCCTCATATTCCTTTTGGTGAAAAAATAGAAGCTCAAAAATAGAGAATTACATAAAAATGGTACTCCTACAAAATACAACTATTGCAACCATTTTTGAGATATTTGAGTTTTTGTAGTCACATGATATCAGCAGATCAATTCATCAATAACATTATTCAATAACAATAACAATATTTTAGGAGGCCATGATCAATTTTATTCTTAATTTTGAAAATTATTTTCAGTTTCCGGCTACAAATTTTGTATTTTGATTAGAGTACTGTTTTTTAGTTTTTTTTTTTCACTGTATCAAATGCTTCTATTTTTTCATCAAAAAGAATATGAAGAAAAAAGTTGGCTTCAAATGACCAATGCTCTAAAAACACCCTTTATATCAATATTTTATCAACATACATTTATATGCAGGAAATTTCAATCTGGTGGCTTTTACCATTTAGAAGCTATGTGGGAGAATTATTTCTATTTAATCAATTTTGGAAGGATATATCTCCCTTTGATATACATTTTGGGCAGCTGGTTTATGCATCAAACTACTTATTTTTCAATGTATTATCACCTCCAGAAAGCTCAGTACACATTTTTGACTCCTGTATATAAAGTGCTAGTGTATGATTTGCAAATAAGTTGATATTGAGTTTTTGAATTTTGAAAAGAAGACAGATCTCAAAACTGAAACATCTGTTTCACCAGAGTCAATATATACAGGGTGATCCACGGTGGATGGCCTATTAGAAGTATCTGCAGAACGAAAAGACAGAATATTCAGAAAATTAGAATGATCTGATAATTGAACATTCTCTATCCATCTAAAATATTTCCATCGATACAGTGTTGCCACTTCTATAGGAAACAACTAGCAACTTCGTTATTTTAAATGTAGCACCCGGTATTTTATTGCATTTTTTAGATTCTTCCTGAAGAGCTGATTTCATCCATGTATCACACTTAGGGTCTAGCAGGAATAATTACAGAGATATAAGTGTTCAAAATCGGGATTTTTCAATTATAGGATTTTTTTGTGTTGAAACTATTCATTATCGATCAAAACGGCTGACATGTCCCTATCTCAACTTCCGATTCATTATCTACTGACATTCAATTGGAACAGATACAGGATGATCAGAATTCTGAATCTTGAAGCACCCTGTATTTTTTCCAATTAATTTCCAGTAGATAGTGAATCAAAAGTTAAGATAGGGACATGTAAGCCGTTTTTATCGATAATGAATAGTTTTCACCCAAAAAAAATCCAAGATTGTGAAAAATCTCGATTTTGAACACTCTATATCTCTGTAATCATTCCTGCTAGACCCTCGAGTGTGTTACATTTATGAAATCAGCTCTTCAGGAAGAATAAAAAAATGCAATAAAATACAGGGTGTTCCATTTGAAATAACAAAGTTGCTAGTTGTGTCTGATAGAAGTGGCAACACTGTATCGATGAAAATATTTTAGACGGATAGAGAATGTTCAATTATCAAAGCATCCCCATTTTCAGAAGTTTCGTTCGCCAGATACTTCTAAAAGGCCATCCACCGTGGATCACCCTGTATATTTGAGAAACTGTGTTGTAGGAACAGTATTCTGGTGTACATAAATGAAATAGGCACTTCTACAATGAACACCCAGAACAACCACCACTTTATTCTATCAAGGATACACATAGACTGACTAATACAATTCTCTCTTATATCACCTCAACCTCTATCATCTACCAGAAATATATGAATCACAGACCGATAATGATGATCACATATCTAACAATAATAATAATAGTAATAATAAAATTCAAAATCGATGCAAATGCTCACATATACATTAGGACCACGGCCGTATGTGATGTGTAATTTCTGAACCATTTATTGAAATTGTAAGACAAAATTATACTTATGATTATTGAAAAATCTCCTCAGGAGTCTATGTTCTTCAATATCATGAGTCAAATCAAGTTGTTATTTTCTGAGGAAAACCAAAAAACCAGATTTGCCCACAAATAAATAAAAATTTCAATCAATAGTTATTTATGTCTATTATAGTCGATTCTGCAAATTGATTGCCGAGGCTAGCAATCAGGCGAGACAATAGACAGATTTTCGCCGAGGTGCATATTTCATGTTTTCGTCGACCTCAAACACTTATATTCACATCACGGTCCTATTCACACGTGAAATCTATCGGATTTCGTGCATAATTAATTTGACAACAGCAAATGACAGTTGTTGTCAACTCACTCTCCGCGCGGACCAGTGTTGCCAGTTCGATTTTTATTCCAATAGTAAATACCTTCTTGAAAATTTCGTAGATTTCAATAGACATGCTTGAGATATATTTTATGCTATACGAATTTCAAGAAAGGATAATGAAATGAACCTAGGACGTCAAAACATTATGTACTTTTAGTAAACAGAACAGTAAAATATTTCCAACAAGATAGTTACAAACAAAACAAACATTCTCATTCTCCCATTCCTAATTCTCAATTCAAAAATACTCACAAATATCACAAAATACAGTTACATAGGTACTTATAAGATTTGAGTATATAAAAAACAGGAACAAATAGTGAAAATGAACAACAAAAATACGAAACAAAAT